GGGTAACTCACCTTGGCGTTGAGAGATCGCTTGGCAACATGGCGTGTGAGAAACTACGTGAGATGAATAAGGAGTTATTGCAAGTCCAGTACAGTGAGACTCCACGACAGGTTGGAAGCAAGAGAAGCAGTTGACACTAGAGGATTAGCACCGCAGAACAGCCCACGATTTCAGAATCTCAGAACATGGAGGAATCAGTTCAGTTCGCTTGCGCTATAAACAGATCGCCAGCCAGCCCACCCAGCTTCGGATAGAAAGATCTACAATGTGTACAATCCATGTTGTACAAGACCAAAAAGATGTCTCCAAAGAGACCACTCGTCGGAATGGTCCAGAAATTAGAAGATTACAAGGCGATAAAAGTGACATTAAGTTGTATAGATGGGAAAACCGGGTATATGCAGGAAGAGCCAGAGCAGGTAGTGTGTGGAGTGCATGCAAGTCGTTCAGGTATGGGAGTGAGCAGGAGAAACGCAAGCGGGGGTAGGCGTCTAGTACTACTTGGCGCCTGGTGGTAGCTTGACGTTGTTGGAAAGCCAGGCCTGGTGAATGTTAGTTGATGAAGCTCACGTGGCCTTGAGGAGATTCAAACGTACCAGTCCCTCGAAGATACCCTCTCCTGTTGTCGCGCAGCTGGGCTCGACCTTCCATACGTGGTCTTTGGCGATCTTGTCTAATTGCAGACGGTCTGAGACTTCCTTTGGTCGCATAGCTGTGGGGAGTTAGCGCAATGTCCTCGTTGGTTGACTGTGGTATGTACGCACCTCCGCTGAGATCCTGCTTGTTGGCGAATACCAACAGCAGCGCATCCTTCATTTCTCTATCTTGGATAATCCTTGTGAGTTCCGTCTTGGCCTCGTCGATACGGGCGCGGTCGTTGGAGTCGATGACGAAGATGAGACCCTGGGTACCTGTGGTCGCAGTCAGCACACGGGTCGATCTGAAGACACGGTAGAGGGTCGGATAAGGCAGGGAGGCCATGCGCGGTGCAGTCGCGTGCACACATGTCAACTCGCCTACCCGGAACGGAGCCCCCACGCGCCAACATACCAGAGAAGTAGTGTCTCCATAGCGGACGGATCTTGTCCTGGCCACCGACATCCCATACGTTGAACTTTGTGTTCTTGTATGTGACGGTCTCGACGTTGAAGCCGACGGTGGGGATGGTGGTTACATCTTGGTCGAGCTTGAGCTTGTATAGGATAGCTGGGCGAGTTAGCGATGACGGGTGCGATGGCACGTAACGGTGGCAGCATACTGGTCTTTCCAGCGGCGTCGAGACCCAGCATCAACAGGCGCATCTCCTTGGATCCGAAGACCTTGGCCATCATCTTGGATATCGAGGCTCCCATGATGTCGGCTATTCGCTATACTTTGCTGGGATGGGCGTCCAAGGTTCCAACACTTGCGGATCGTCGTGGAGAGAGTAGGCGGTACGTCGGCGATAGCGAGCTGTAGCTAGTGCGCGATTAGGTGTGGATGATAGGAGTCGACCGTGTGATGGAGGTGAGGTGAGGTAAGGCTGGTGAGGTTTGTGGGAGAAGAATGTCAAGATGTGCAAGGACGGCAAGGAGAATATCAGTAGCGACTCGGCTCAGGGTCTCGCGTGGGCGCTGGCGTTGTTCATGAAATGAGGTTTCAAGCTGCTCAGGAGTGAAACCGCAGCAGGCGCGTTGCAGATCCCAGCACAAAGACGTCTGTGCGCGCCCAACGGCTCGATCGTGACGGGTTCATCCTACACGCCAACCACACCACCACCTCTCCTGCTTTTGCCAGACGGAAAAGGGGCGGCACGTCTACAGCCTTTGATTGCGAATCTTGGGTAAGATGAAGCAAAGGCACTCCGCATGCCTTACTCGCTGCGTCGGCATGCGTGCAAGCTGCAGGAAATCTGCAGCTAGACATGTAGTTTCCTCCAGGGCTCCATGCTGTGTGACTTTGCCGCCGCCGTTCGAATCGCAAAATGCCGGTACACGCAGCCATGCAGGTACGCGGCGCTACTCCTGAGACTGATGAAGCCGTGGGGTCCTCGCCGTTTGCCTTCAACATTGCAGTCGTTCGCCATGCACATTGCCTGCACCGGCCTTTAGTCTCTGCAGTAACCGAGTCAATATCGTCAAGGCCTGAATGGTCGGGCGAAGTAACCCGATATGCCAAGTTTCCTACCTGCTACCACTTGTCCCTCACATCGTCATGGCCTGCCATGCACATCTTCCGTAGTGTTCCTCACAATTACCCGAGCATTACTGAACCTCGTTTGATGTCGGCCCGCGTACCAATCTTCGGCTACAAGACATGTACAGAGTCGACGCAAATTTGATACCGAAATTCATGACGTGTTACACCGTGCGGGAGAAGGGTCCAAAGAAGCATATCAACCGAGCCTGAGGGATTACTGAATCGGGGACGAACCCTGACGCCAAGCCCAAAGGAAATACGAAAAGCACTACGCTCAGCCGGAAAGAACGGTACTACTGAAAAGGAAGGTCATGGCAAGTCTCAGATGATACCTAAGCTGTTGAGTCCTATTTGTGGAATACACCATCTTCCCTTGGACTACTCAATATTTGTTTTTTCGTGGGTTATAGTCTCCACTCAGCCATCTCTACGTGTACCTCGACTACTCTACAGCTGTCTACGCCCAATTGATACATGCAACAACCCCGCGATATTGTGAAGACCTCTAAAACCCATCATCGATACCCTTGCTCTTCTCTGCCTGCCGCCTCTCATTGTTGACCGTCCACCACCACTCATGTATTTCCTGACTGCACTTCCCTGCCTCCTCATCCCACGGCTTCGGACTTAAGATGTAATGCACATTCTTGACCTCTTCGTCCCTCCAGATCGCATCATGCACACCTTTTGACCGCAACGTCTTCAGCGCATTGTAGGTATAGGGTAGCGCGACCCATCGGCCGTTGAACAGGTCGCCAAGCAGCGATTGGTCGGCGAAGTCGTAGTTTCCCGATGTCTCGTTGGAGAGCTGCTCGAGGATCAGGTTGTAGGTAGCGAGTGAGGGATTTACGACTTGGAGGCCGCCGTTGGGCATACGCAGCCCGGCTGTTGAGGGTGCGCCAGTTTTCTGGGCAGCATCGGGGTTGGAGTGTTGAGATGTAAACGCGCAGTTCTCGGGGATCCTGAAACTGCGTCAGCAGTGTCGCGTGCGTGTGTTGGTTGGAGAGACATACCAGTCCTTGGGGTAATGCGGCTTCTTGAGCGGATTGCACACGCAGGCATGGCTTGCAGCAAACACCCTGTCGCCCTTGCCACCCATACTCGGTGCATCCAACTCCAAGTCCATCAGCTCATCCATATTCTTCAGCACCAACATGTCGCTGTCCAGCTGGACCACCCTGTCATACTCCTCCAGCGAGAAGGGCGTCAGCTTGCTCCAGCAATCGTAGAATCGCGGGTCGTTGCTGAAGTCTTTTGAGACCTTTGGCAGCAAGTACTTGACATGCTGCTTTGGTATGCTGCGCTCATCAAGCGCCTTGTGGCCTTCTTCAGGAAAAGTGTCCGTGTAGAGAGCGATGAGGGGGTACTTGGAGCCGTGCTTCTTGAGCGCATAGTCGAGTGTGAGGAGGCCGGTGAGATATGCTGTATTGGTAATAAGAGTTGTCCATACTGCACTGCCATCAGCCTCTGCTCTCCAACCGCGCCCCGCCAAACTTCTGCTGTACCTTTCTTCGACTTTACACCCGCCGGCTCTGTAGTCGCGCTTGAAGTTGCCTGCATGTTGCTTGTATGTAAATCACTCGAGTCGCACGCCAACAAGCTATCACGCAAGATGTGTAGTCAGTAAAAGCCACAGTGTATTAGTTGGAGGATCAAGTCGCGCCATCTTCGGTCGCATATTATGGCGTTTGTCAATAGAGGGGTCGAGAAAGAGCCGCTAATCTATGAATGAACGATCGTACCAATCTGGACCCTGGAAAAAGCCACTAAAACGTCTTCGGAGGTCCGAATGTGCGTGCGCCGATCGCTCGTCTCTGTCAACATCGTCACCACATGCGATCGCGGGCGCTATCACGTTTCCGATATGCACGTTTGACTGACCGCTGCTGACTATTCCTGCGAAACTGATGGCTTGGTTGTTTTCCCAACTCATCTCTATCGGTTGTATTGCTATCATCCCATGTCGTGTTGAATGCTTTTTCTTGGGCTAGAGGCATGACTCCGATATTGCATTGGAGAACAGCGACGCGACAATGGCTACCTCAGCCCTGAACCTGAAATCCGGCGGCTCGAAGCCCGCGTCCACGGCGCTGATAGCTACGTCCGATGAGTCGAACAAGTCACCCAAGCACTATCGCGGCTTTGTCGCCGGTGTCTTCAGTGGCATTGCGAAGTTGTCTGGTAAAAATGCCCTTCCCAAGATATATCCCAAACATAGCTAACAAAAGTAGTGGGTCACCCATTCGATACTGTAAAAGTCCGCCTACAAACGACCGAGAAATCGCATTTCCGGGGTCCGGTAGACTGTCTTATGCAGACGTTGAGGAAGGAGGGGTTTGCGGGGCTGTACAAAGGTGCTACACCGCCGCTGGTGGGATGGATGTTTATGGACTCGATGTAGGTCAATCCTCGTCTCCAGACGGCAGTCATATATCCTTATGCTAACACTGCAAAGCATGTTAGGATCTCTCAGCGTATACCGTCGCGTCCTCAACGATCGAGTCTTCAATCCCCCCTCACATCTCCGACTTGGCGAACAGCAGAGTAAGCTGCCCGTATACGGTCATGCATTAGCAGGGACCATGGCGGGATGGACAGTCTCCTTCATTGCCGCGCCGGTCGAGCACATAAAAGCGCGCCTGCAAGTGCAATATGCAGCCGATAAGAGCGCACGCCTGTACTCCGGACCGATCGACTGCCTCAAGAAGATATACACTGGTCATGGAGTAAGAGGAGTATACCATGGTCTCAGTGCAACGCTCCTGTTCCGCACATTCTTCTGCTTCTGGTGGGGAACCTACGACCTCTTCACACGGCAGCTACAACAACATACCTCGCTCTCTGCACCAGCCGTGAATTTCTGGGCAGGAGGTTTATCAGCCCAGATATTTTGGTTGACCAGTTATCCGAGCGACGTAATCAAGCAGCGCATCATGACGGACCCGCTTGCACAGAGGAGATTCCCAAGATGGCGGGACGCCGCGAAAGCGGTCTACAGGGAACAAGGCTGGAAGGGATATTGGCGGGGGTTCGTGCCATGTTTCCTGAGAGCATTCCCGGCGAACGCCATGGCATTGGTAGCATTCGAGGGAGTCATGAGGAGTCTGCCAGAATAAAGTGACGCATTCTTAGGCTTCTGTTCCTTCACGTTCTAGACTTAGCGACCTCATAGCATTGTGATACCATTGTAGACAAGTCTCATCTAGCAAGAATATATTCATATCTTGTCATGCATCATGACGTCGTTGTCGTAACTTTTGTCGTATCTCATAGCTTGCCCTTGTTGTCCTCAAGCTCGCAGAATGCCTTGAATGTTACCAAGCCCTCCGCACCCTCCTCGTCTTCAGCATCAACCTCGCTCTTGATGACAACTTCAGCTGTGGCACCAACAAAATAGACAAAGCCCTCCTTGAGTTCTTCCTCCTTGGGTCCTACGCTGATTGTTCCCTTGCCCTTGGTGCAGAGGATGATGCTTGGTCCATCAATCGGGTCAAACGTCGCCTTGCCACCAGTGCGATTGAGTGCCGTCCGTACTACAGCGAACTCAGGGATTGGCGGGTTGTACAGCTTGTTGCTGCTGTTGGAGCTATACGCCGGCGCATTCAGCCTAACCTGGGAATAATCCTTGGGCTCCATCTTTTGCTCACTAATTGGCGCATAACTGTAAGTCAGCATCTTTGTCAAATTATCAACGTCCTTGAACTTTGGTGTGAAGCCCGCGCGGACTACGTTGTCGGAGCTCGCCATGCACTCAATGATGTCGCCAGAGAGGTAAGCGTGGATATCGTCAGCCTTCAGGAACATGGCTTCGCCGACCTCTAGCTTGACGTAGTTGAGGAAGAACTGAACAAAAAGACCAATGTCACCAGGAAATTGAGTGTTGAGGCGGACGACGAGGTCTGCGAGCTCTTTGCCATCGTTAGAGGGTGGGCCGCCGTCCGCGAACTTGTCGCCTTCGGACTTGGCTGCCTCAACAAGCTCTTCACTGGCGGATGATAGTGCGTCCTTTTCCACGTTCATGAGCTTTGTGAAAGCGGATTGTAGGGCTTTCTTGTTTTCCTGCATGTCCTCCTCCTTGTCGGAAGTTTCCTTACCGCTGATGGTATCCTCGAACTTCTTAGCTTCTTCTTCGCCAACAAGTTTACGCAATGAGGGAACGGTCTTCAGGAAATGCGCGATTTCGGCGAGGGGTCGGAAGCCGCAGAGGCCATCGAAGGGAGTGACCGCGATAGTCATTTCGGGCTTGTGGTTGTCATCTAACGAGACATTAGTATTCCGGAAGGGGAACTCTGGGGTGACGCTGACCTGGGTAGTTTTTGGGATCACTGGCATGTAGCTGCTCAGCAAGCTTCTTGTTTGGGTGTGCCTGGATGCTCAGGGCCTTGTTGATGGACAGCACCTTGAACAAGAAGGGAAGCTTGTTCTCATATTTCTCGGCGATCTCTGTAGACAGCAAGGCTTGGTTTTCTTGAACGAGGTCTAGAAGTGTCCGCTGGGTCTCGAGGTCTTTGGAGGGAAGCGACGGGTGTGTGCCCATCCATAGCTGGTAGTGTCAGCGACGCGTCAATCGAACATTCCGTGTTTCGTACCTCGGCATATGGCTTCTCTTCTTCAATCGAGAAACGAGAAGCTGTCGCAGCGTGGAATTTGGCGGCGGCGGATCCTTTACCGACTTTCCCTGGGTTGGTTCAGCATACCGCTGGCGCGAATGTAGGTGATGACGCGGGGCAGCGTACCCCAGTCGTAGCTGTTAACACCTGCGAATGGTCAATTGATGTTCTCTTCCTATCTTCATTACCGCGTTTACTTACCGCATTCTAGTCTGATAAGAGGGTTCCGCATCTTGAAGCCGGTTTCGGTGGATTGTGGATGTTGTGTTGTATAGCGACACCGCGATTTGGCAGAGGAGCTCTCGGCGGGGTCCACTTCTTGGTCCCGCATGAACGTCACCCTTGCTGTTCGATTAAGCTCATGGAACCAACCCCTCTTCCGTAGCTAGCGTATCCCACCCTGCATCCAGCGGAGTACATGCCCCGACGTTGATCACCTGCAGCTGTTTCTCTTTCCTCTACCTCACTTTGCTACTTCCACGCGCCAACACATGAGCTACCTGCAGCGCTTCAGGTAACACGGAAAGAGCTGGGGAGTTGACGGGCCACAACTTCCGTCAACATGGCAGCCCGCAGCAGGCCACGAGGTCAATTGAAGGAAGAGTTCGATGAAGAGAGGGTCATCTGGAACTCGATCAAAACCGATGGCCGACGCGTTGATCAACTCATGGTACGAGATTCATTTTCTTGATGATCACTGGCGTTGGAATCAACATCTCTATTTTCACCGCCATCATTTGCTCACTACAAGCGGAGTACCGTCGAATCTTCGTGACTCCGAAGGACATCTCGGCCACAGCCGAGCTGATCATGGATGCCGTGCCCAAATAGACCCTGCTCTGCTTTTAGTTGACTAGGCAAAGATTTGCGCCTCTACTGACATACCGCAGAAAGAGTCCGATGTCTTGCAAGAGAAGATCTCCGCTATTGTCGCAGAACAGTCTGCTCGTATCGGTCCGTCAACATCTCATCGACTGTCATGTATCGTCGTGTTGCTGACACTATTAGATCGCGGCGAGGAAACTTCAGCTCGCCTTGACGACGAACTTGAAGACCTTCTACGCGACAACATCCGTAATCTCAATGAGGCGCAAACCCTTCTGCAACCCGTCGAAGGCGGCAATGACGTCCACACCCAGATGACGCTACTGGCTGCCCTCCGCATGTCGGAAGAAGCTCCACCTTCAGCATCACGAGCCACTAGCGTTGGGCACGGGAAGTCGGGACGCGACCGCCAGGGCAAGCGAAAGCTGACCGAAAGTATCGATGACCGCGACAGCATTGCTGCGGACAGTCCTGGAGGCCCTAGCCCAAAGGTTGTTATCAGTAGCCAAAAAGATCGACTGGTAGCCAAGTCGGGCAGTAGCAGAGCAGGATCAGTACCTGTTGCGAGAGAGGGCAGCGTAAAGATCGATGAAGACGATTCGGGTAAGGGTAAGATGGTTCTTCCTCCTTCCAAAACCAAGCCCACGATCAAGTACAAGACCAAGCGTTGAGCTGTACTACACTATCGGCGTTCCTTCTAGACGGCAGATGATACCCACTCTGGCAAATTCCCTTTCGGCTTGTTCGAGGTTTGTAGTCGGATAGGCAAGCTCATAATTTCACCTCATCTGATCTCATACGTCTTTTTCAAGTGCTCATGCCACATGTATTATCCTTCCTCTCATAGCGCCCGCTTCACGTTCCTGTTTATCATCCCATCTCCCTTCGAACATCACGACAGCTGACGACCGTACTACAGAAGTCCGACCTCGTCTATCACCACAAACAGAGGTTCTCTACCGGAACAACGCGAAGAACCGCTCTTCCTCTTCTTCCATGTCATTCGAGGGTGAAGGCATTCTCTGCCGCGTAACGTCGGTGATCGGCGAAGGAAAGCAACGTCGGTACGAAATTATTGATGCTGATCCGGATCCCCCGACACCATCAGTGCCGTACCGTGCTTCCGTAAATCATCTAATACCTATCCCGCCACCCTCTTCCAACACCACACTGCCTGACCTTAGTAAAGGGAAGAACGTGCTCGCTCTGTACCCTGGTACCACCACCTTCTATAAGGCGGAAGTAGTAGCTGTATGGAGGCAGATCGACGGCAAGGTCAAGAAAGAAGATGGGAGTAAAGAAGGAGAGACCGTGGATAATCTCGTCAGATTGAGGTTTGAGGGTGAAGACGAGGCGGACCGTGAGATGAGTGTTGAGAGAAGATATGTACTGCCTGATAGATGACCGGGTAGTATCGTCCATTTTTCAAAGAGCTAGATGAGCTCAGTTCAGGCTGGCGATATACGGGATCCGAGTACGGAGGTTTGGATAATGGTGATACGGGGGGGTGTGGTTTGGAATGGACTGGTTGATACCGCGCATGTTGCATTTTTGCTTTTGAGACTTTTGCATACTGGGGTTGAGGCTTTTTTTTTCCTGGAACGAATACCGTCAATGGTTTAGAATCTGGAATCTACATCTCTCTTGCAAATAAATCGCGATGTTGTCCACCTGGATAGCCAGAAGGCACTGCCAAGCCACTAGCATCAGCGTCTCGACCCTAGGATGCACGTCGCCAACTTGAAGGCTTCAAAGACTCCGCAACTTAAGTCGACGTGACCCCGCACACGACACAATACGTATTCTAACCTGAAATCAAGTGTCGCGTCACTAAGAAGAACTTGGTGTGCGCCGAACATCCCACCAACAGACTCTCAATCCAATCACACACCCGACTATCGACGCCTCTAACCCGCGTCGCACGCCGACTCCACCAATATCCGCAGCTATCTAATCTCCACCACCCGCACACACCGACATCGCCATGAACAACTACTCTTTCCTGGAGTCCTCCCAGCAACAAGCCGCTCAACAACAGCAGCAGCAGCACAATCAAAACCGCCCACCACCTTCTCCTTCACATTCACAAGCGGGCAGCATAGCAGGTTCGCAAGTCAACGGCGGCGGCCAGAACGGCATTCCAATGGTCAATGGCTTGCCAAGTGGGGGCCAGCAGACGGACATGAACCATCTGTGGGCGGTGGTGCAGCAATTGAGTCAATTACTAGAGGAGAACAAGGCGCAAACGAGGGGCATTGTGGAGGGTGTCGCTGCGATACAGGGGAGGGCTGCACAAGAAGAGGGAGGCGAAGTCGGCGGTGGAATTAATCTGAGAGGTGGAGGAGGGGTGGCCATGAGGGAGGTTAATGGCGAGATAAATGGTATGTTTAGTCTGCTTTGAGACAATACAGACAACCACATCCGACTGATATTCGATGATCACACACTGACACTCCTCACAGCAGCAACAGTCGCAAATCTACAATCACAGCTTACGGCCGCGCAATCCACAATCGCATCCTTGACCTCCACGAACTCATCGCTCTCAACCCTCCTTACCGACTACGAATCTGCCTTGACTCTTCTCCTCGATAAATTACGTCCTTATGCTTATTCTCAAACGTCAGCCATGCTCGCCCTTCACAAATACTATCAAAGCCTCCTTGACCAAGAGCGCTCAACATCCATGGGGCTGCGGCTCGAACATGCAGACTGGCAAGCAGGGTTGAGTCGCGTAGCAGAGAACGCAAGGAACGCACTACGATGCCAGAGTGAAATCGAGCAAGGCTTAAGGAGCAGATGCAAAGAGTTGGGCGAGGAGAATAGGGTGTTAAGACGTATGGTGGGGTGGGAAGAGAGGGAAAGCAGTGATGATGAGGCCGAGGACAAGGCATAAACGGATTGTCGCCAGGTAATCACGAGCGGTACACGTACGGAGAATGTTTGTTATGCATAGCGTCGGCGTTTGGGGCCTCACGAGACACTCACGGTGTTCGGGGTGGAATGCTATGGCTTGGGTTTCGCCTTTGACATATCGGCTGATACTTGGCTTGTCATTTCAGAGACATTATTACATGTACTTGGATGTTGTCGAGGAAAGCTTGTTAGGACTCGAAGTTGATTCGAGATTAATCCGAATACTAATATCATGGTCAAAGTCCCATTGATTCTTGTGAAAGTCTACTAACTCCTGGTGGTAGTAGACTAATCAGTAGTGTAACGGATAAAGGTCACATCCGCACGCTGCCACGGCTTGCCCAGACTCCCGTGGACGATTCCCTCGCTTACCCCAACACTACCCCAGAAATCTACCTCGGCACAGTTAGCACTCCCCCGCAGAACCCGCCTCATCACCTACACTTCGCGGCCCGTCGGGGGCCTTGGCTAACGCGATGAAGCCATCAATCTTGCTATCATGGTATAGCGTGCTGTCTGTGCAGATATGGATGCCTCGGGGCATGTTTAAACCGGTGGGTATCGGATAGACTACATGATGCAGCGCGTTGTAACTTCCCTCCTGCGACGTTCTCATCTCAATCCAACGCCACGATAACGTTTACAAGGCGAGTATTATACTGTAAGTCACCGCTGAGTGTACGCGTGTATTCTTGGGCGGTCATTGATGCTGATGTGGACCAGGGACCCACGCCTACTCCTTCCAAATCCGCAGAAATTCAGGAAGGGGTACAGCAACAAGCTCGGTGTCCAAGGGATCAACCAGCCGAGGACCAAGAACAATAAGACCACATTTTAAGTGATTCGTAGTGCTGCGCCCTCACCAAATATTCGACAGCATTACTTCCTCCCTAGCATTCAGCAAATCGAGCCGCAAAGATGGTCATCAAGTCTCGCTGGTCGTTCCCTATACCTAGCGTTTCCCTACCAACGTACATCTTCGACTCTCCAACTGCAGAACTACCAAAGACTCCACTCTACCTTTCTGCAAGCGAACCCGACAAGTACAACATTTCATTGCACAGATTGCGGCACGATGCGCAACGTCTGGCTTCAGGTTTGCGACGCGCGGGTCTGCAACCAGGTGATCGCGTATTGCTGTACTCAGGAAATACGCTGTTCTTCCCAATAGTAGTTCTAGGTGTCATCATGGCAGAGGGCATTTTCACAGGTGCAAACCCGACCTACATTGCTCGAGAGCTAGCGTACCAATTGAAAGACAGCGGAGCACGCTTTATGATATGCGCAGAGGGCAGCCTGGACACGGGAATCGCTGCTGCAAAAGAAGCGGGCATGGGCGCTGAGCGCGTCTTCATCTTTGACGATGGTCTAGCGACGTTTGAGGGTCGGAAAGTGGAGAAGAGTACCGAGTTGGGACATATTCGCCATTGGACTGAACTCCTCGACACCCCAGAACGCGGTAGCGCTTACTCTTGGCCCAATCTACAAACACCAGAAGAACTCGACCGAGTAGTAGCGCTAAACTACTCGTCGGGAACGACTGGCGTTGCGAAAGGCGTCATGATAACGCACAAGAACTATGTCGCAAACACCAGCCAACAAATCCACATTCAAACCACCGCACCGGACTACAATGAGAAGCTGAAGAAGAAGAGGTATCTCTGCTTTCTCCCCATGTACCACGCTATGGCACAAGCCATCTTCTGCTTCGGCGCTGTCAGGCAACGCGTACCGGTCTACATGATGCCCAAGTTCGACTTCCTAGAGATGCTGCAGAACGTGCAGAAGTACCACATTAGTGATATGGTGTTGGTGCCGCCGGTCGTAGTGGCCATGGCCAAACACCCGGCGACGAAGAAGTTTGACCTGAGTTCTGTGACTGGCGTATCTTCCGGCGCCGCTCCTCTCGGTCGAGAAGTCATTCGGGAATTCGAAAGTATATGGCCGAATGGGCAAGTCAACGTTAAGCAAGGCTATGGCATGACGGAGGTCACATGTGCAGCAACTACATTCCATCCTTCGATCTACTCTGATAGCTTCTCGGTCGGTGAGATTCTGGCAAACTGCGAGGCGAAGATTGTATTGGACGATGACGGCAAGGTCGAAGCGCCACAAGGCGAGAGAGGCGAGATCTGGGTTCGCGGACCGAATATTATGAAGGGATATTGGAACAAGCCTGATGCGACGAAGGAGACTATGACAGAAGACCGATGGCTGAAGACAGGAGATGTGGCATACGTGGACAAGAACAACCACTTCTTCATTGTGGACAGGAAGAAGGAACTGATCAAGGTGAAGGGTCTACAGGTCGCGCCAGCAGAGTTGGAGGCGCTACTGCTTGATCATCCGGACGTGCAAGATGCTGCCGTTATCGGTATTACAGTGTAAGTTTACGCGATTCTTTCACTCTCACAACCGCTAATCATAGCCAGTAACGGTGATGAACTGCCTCGCGCGTACATTGTGCCTCAGTCGCAGGAAAGTGCGACTCCAGAAACCGCGGAGAAGATCAAGAACTGGCTGGCTGAGCGCGTCTCCAGACACAAGCGGTTGGAAGGAGGCGTGAACTTCATAGATGCGATTCCGAAGAATCCGTCTGGAAAGATTATGCGAAGGCAGTTGAGAGACAAGGCTGCACTGGAAGATACTAAGGCGAAGTTGTAGATCGGATAGATTTAGCGTTCACAGCGAGGGAGGTAGATGTCTAGCAAGGCAGCGAGTGAGCATTCAAAATAGGCTGTGCAATTATTGAAGCTTTGTGTTCAAGTCAGCGCTGTGGTCCTCTTGCTTTCATTGCCTGTCGTTCTCCACAACACGCGGACGTCACTCGTCTGCCATGGCTCGAAATTGATGGCTCGCAGTTGTTGCTGCTTTGATATACACATGCAGCGTTCTCCGCTCGTGACTGACATGACGATCTGCCATTTCCGCATAATGAAACCTAGTTGCTTCGCTGTCCGTTCTTGGCTGCCCTCAGCTCGTCCATCTTCTTTACTCGCTCCTTGAACTCGTCATATTGGCACTTTTCGTAGGAATGTCTCTCGTTCTAATACTCTGGTCAGCCGCCTGTCGTCGTCTTTTCCTTGACGGGTTCTTCGCGTACCTCGCACTTCCATGGTAGGTAGTACTCCTCGTACCGACACCGGTTCAAGGGGATAAGAAGATGTGCGCATGAGTCTCGGTAGGCCAGTGGTAGTTTGGCGGCGCTCATTTCCTCACGGGTAGCCTCTACATTCCCGTCAGTCTTTATTCGTTCCTCATGACGAATTGCGTCAAGATGATTGGCCCGACGTACTCCTCGGCTCGCCGTCAAGGCCGACGGCATGCTTGATGGTATCGGTGATGGTCATAGTGGCGGCCCTCGATGGTGTTCGTCTTCAATGGCGCGCGGGGGGCTGGTGGGCGGAGAGTCGTTTGCGGGCGAGCTTGCTGAGGTTCACTTGCGGTCGGCAAAGGCAAGCTGACCACCGCCGGACCCCGACGCTTGGCAGGGCAGGCGCGAACGCGGCCTTCCAACGCGACTTCCCCCAGGTCTGACGCGAACTGCAGACACGCCCTCACGAAATCACTTGACACGCCTCCCAGACGCCTTGTTACTGCTCATCGAATGGTGAAGATGCCCCCCGCGCCCGATGGCAAAATCTATTCGGCAACCTACAGTAATGTGCGTAGCAATCACCGCTTGCGACTCAAGTCTCAGCCACCACTTTGCGACAATGCACTGACAGACTGCAGGTTCCCGTCTACGAGTGCAATGTCAACGGCAACCATGTCATGCGCCGTCGCGCCGACGACTGGATCAACGCCACTCACATCCTCAAGGTAGCCGACTACGACAAGCCTGCGCGTACCCGTATCCTTGAGCGCGAAGTCCAGAAGGGCGTGCACGAGAAGGTCCAAGGTGGATATGGTAAATACCAAGGCACATGGATACCCCTCGAGGAGGGGCGACATCTGGCAGAGCGGAATGGTGTGCTGGACAAGATGCGCGCCATCTTCGACTACGTCCCCGGTGACCGGAGCCCTCCACCTGCGCCCAAGCATGCGACAGCTGCCTCAAATCGCATGAAGCCTCCAAAGCAAACCGCTGCGGCTGCTGCTGCCGCGGCCCGGAATGGTAAAAATGTCTATTCGCTTGAATCTATGCAATGTAGGAGGTCACTCTCATTGGTCATTGTTCAAGCTTTGATGCGCGAGACATGAAGCTGACTTGCATCGCAGCCTTTGTAACTACATCCGCGCAGTCTCAAGTTAGCGAAGAGCCCTACGAGGCCTCTCAGATCAGATCGCAGATCTTCCGCGAGGAGACGCCGGATAACGAGACTGTCATTTCGGAATCCATGTTGGGTGACGCCGATATGCTGGATTCTTACTCAACGGGCGGAGGCAGAAAGCGCAAGCGGGGGATTGACCAGATGTCTCTTCTGGATCAGCAGCATCAAATATGGGCCGATCAGCTACTGGACTACTTCATGTTGCTAGACCACGAATCCGCCGTCTCCTGGCCCGAACCACCGCAGAGCATAAACCTCGACCGGCCGATCGATGAGAAGGGACACGCAGCCATGCACTGGGCAGCGGCGATGGGTGATGTTGGGGTAGTAAAGGAGCTGATACACCGAGGAGCACGCATCGATTGCCTGTCGAACAACCTGGAGACACCCCTAATGCGCGCCGTCATGTTCACGAACAACTTCGACAAGGAGACTATGCCCAGCATGGTCAAGATCTTTCAGCAGACGGTTCATAGGACAGACTGGTTTGGCAGTACCGTCTTCCATCACATCGCGGCGACCACCAGCAGCTCGAACAAGTACGTTTGCGCAAGATGGTATCTTGACTGCATCATCAACAAACTCTCAGAAACCTGGATACCAGAAGAGGTTACTAGGTTACTTAATGCAGCAGACCAGAACGGAGACACAGCCATCATGATTGCTGCGCGAAACGGCGCGAGGAAATGCGTACGAAGTCTGTTGGGACGCAACGTCACAGTCGACATTCCTAACAAAAAGGGTGAGACGGCAGACGATCTTATTCGAGAGCTCAATCAACGACGACGAATGCATGGACGCACGAGGCAAGCTTCATCGTCACCGTTCGCTCCACCACCAGAACACCGACTCAACGGACATGTACCGCATCTAGATGGAGGACCACTGATTCCAGTACCATTCCCCAGCATGGCTGTTCGAGAACCTGTTCAGTACCGCTCACAGACGGCCTCACATCTCATGACCAAAGTCGCGCCAACACTACTGGAGAAATGCGAAGAGCTAGCTGCAGCATATGAGACGGAACTTCAGGAGAAGGAGGCTGAATCCTTCGACGCAGAACGTGTGGTGAAGCGACGCCAAGCCGAGCTTGAAGCCGTACGAAAACAAGTAGCTGAGTTACAGGGCACATCAAATGGCCTACACATTGACCTCGACGACGACGAAGCAGACCGGCTGCAAGAAGAGGAACTGCGGTTACTGGTGGAAGAAGCCGAGTCGCTCCTAGAGATTGAACAAAAGGCCGAGCTCCGTCGACTGTGCAGTAGCATGCCGCAACAGAATGCCGACAACTCGCCTGTGGATGTCACGGAAAAGATGCGGCTAGCATTGTTGCTACATCGCGCGCAACTCGAGCGGAGAGAGCTGGTCAGAGAAGTTGTGGGTAATTTGAGCGTGGCAGGTATGAGCGAGAAGCAAGGCACATACAAGAAGCTCATTGCGAAAGCACTGGGCGAGCGCGAGGAAGACGTCGAGTCCATGCTGCCTGAGATCCTGCAAGAGCTGGAAGAGGCGGAAACACAGGAAAGGGCTGAGGGACTGGATGGAAGTCCGCTATAGGTTTTGTTACCTAGTAGTAAACCCGTGATGGCAGGACAGTGATAACGAGTATTTACGACCAAGATAGCGAGCATTTACCTCTTAATGTATGCATGTTTCTGGCTGGCCGTTCCAACGATGACGCGAATTGTTCAAGGCTGCGGCGTGTATCTCGAAAACATCCGGCCGCGCTCATGGGATTCGTGATGGTGGTCTCCACACGGCTAATGCGTGTCAGTTGCTTGTGCATGCGTGGGGTCAACGACTTTCAGATGACCTTGGTATGCAAGGCGGCTGGATGTGACTGGATCACGCATGGGGCTAAGCTATGACGTGATCCAGACGGGCTGGTCGACACCCGACTTTCGGCACCTCAAAGATGGCGGACTTGATGGAGGCGGAGAGCATTTGTCGAGGAAATGGCGTGGATCCAAGGGGGAAATTTGGTAGTCGCCAGGCTGCGTATGCTGGGACGCGTAGCTCGGAGGTGAGCTTGGCCGCGATTGGACCATGAGGCGGAGTGTACGGCAATGCAGGGGCTTGGCTGTAGGGCATTGCACCAACACCTGAAGACAGATATCAGCAGTTCGCAATTGTCCAACTGACTAAGACAGCATAGCCCGCCGCCGCCTAATCCCAATACCATCACACGCTTGCAGCGGTCCCACCCACCTGCCATTCGGTACTGTCACTCGCTTGCATTCGTCGCCTTATGCCTGAGTCCATTCCGCTGAGGAAGAAGCCTCCGCCGCATCCTCGTACCCTCGTCCACTCCCTCTCGGAAGACTTCAGCCTCGAGCCCCCAAACAGAAGCACCTCGCCCGTTGTTGCGTCCGGGTCCAATTCCCGACAGCTTCCACGAACACGCTCTTCGTCGCGACAACATCGGAAAGCGAACAGCCCGGATAGCCCAGCCAATTCAGAAGTCGAGTTTGACGACTGGGATGAACACGACGCCGCCATGCCCTCAGATCTCAGACCCTCCATCGACGTCAGAGATGGACGCGCGAATGCGCCCCTGCTAGGGCGCAAGACCGAGGACGACAGCATGGATGACGGCTTGTTGGGGAGGAGCACACATCACTTCCACGAGCGGGATCCAGAGCTGCAGGCAAAACACGAGACGCGCAAGAAGTACACCTATGCCGCTTTCCTGCTTGCCCTGAGCTTGGTCAGCTTCACCGTACAGACAGAGACGGCCGTCTACATCCAACATCAGTTGAAGTGGGAGAAGCCATACTGTATGCTCTACATGACCCACGGCTCCTGGGTTGTGCTCTGGCCAGCAACTCTCTTCTTGCTACGTCTCCAGCACTGGAGCGAGCCATGGCCGACCTTCTGGCGACGACACGTCCAGCTCCTCCGCCAGACCGCCCTCATGGTCCAGCACCAGAACCTCCACCCAACACCCCGCCAATCCCAAGTCTCGCCTGTACGATACATGCTCAAGATGACGGCCTTCATCACATGCGCCCTTACACTTGCTGGAGGAAGTTGGTACGTGGCTGTGAACCAGACCACAGCCAGTGACCTTACAGCCATCTACAACTGCTCTGCCTTCTTCGCCTACGCCTTCAGTATCCCCATTCTCCACGAGAAGGTCCGCGCCAGCAAGATCATCGCCGTAGCTATCGCTATTGTGGGCGTCTTCGTCGTCGCATACGGCGATACCTCCCCCGCAAAACACGGTTCAAAGTCTGGGGGTGGGGCCGGCGGTGATAAAGCACCCCCGTCGCATGAAGCCGAGAATCGCGCTTTTGGTAACCTCGTCATTGGCATCGGAAGTGTCTTGTATGGTCTCTACGAAGTGCTGTACAAGAGACTTGCGTGTCCACCCGAAGGCGCTGCACCCAACAAGGGCGTTATTTTCGCAAACCTGTTTGGAAGCTTAATTGGTGCTTTCACTCTTGGAGTCCTATGGATTCCGTTGCCCTTGTTGCATTACATGGGCTGGGAGCTGTTTGAGTTGCCGCATGGAGAGCAGGCGTGGATGATGGCTATCAGTGTCTTGGCTAATGCTAGTATGTTTCCCTCCTCCCTGCAACCTCGTGAACAGAGCAGCGTACTGACCCCATCTCAGCCTTCTCCGGAGCCTTCCTCGCGCTCATCTCCCTCACCTCTCCCGTCCTCTCCTCTGTCGCAGCTCTCCTCACCATCTTCATTGTCGCGCTCGTCGATCAGCTTCTCCCTCCGCCGCTCAACTCGCCTCTTACACCTGCTGCTATCGTTGGCGGTCTTCTTATTATTGGGGCGTTCACTTTGTTATCATATGCATCATACAAGGAGATGGATGAGGAAAGGAGACACAAGCTCGAGGAGGCACCTAGCGAATTGGATGATTAGGTGCTATCGAGTATAGACAATTTTCTTTCGCTACATAGAATTCTCCATTCTTTTGGGAACTGTTTCGCATACTACACATTTAGGAGTGGTTTGCTGGGGCAGGCTCTCATGCAGACCCTTTTTTCTTCTTGGGTTTTATCTACGCGGGCAGGCCGCGTTAGTTTGTGTGTTTTGGCATTGCGTGCTTTGACTCGCATTAGCATGGTATGCATATATGGCGTCACTGGAGGTGTTACAGGGTAGACCGAATGGTCACCTTGATGCTAGAATGAATCTTCGTCGTTTTACTACTTTTGAAACTTGATTCTTCTTTGCGTTCAACGTGTTTGTTATGGTGAGCTTCTTGTACTCAAAGCGTAGACGTTATACCCGACGCACTGCCTGCAGAAGAAGAGAACCGTTCGGATATTATTACAAGTAGAAGATGGTGTAGTAAAGATGACGCGAAAGCTTAAACGATACTGTAATATGATCATGGGTTACTCTTTGGCATTGGCCGACCCTCTGTAGGCGATGGGGACAGATTGAGGAGAAGTAGACCCTTCGAAGAGGGTCTGCGAGTTGGGAGGATGTATATTACTCAGTAATCTGCCGCTCATGCTTTGCTTTCGCAGAAATCTCTCCACTTAGCAATGTGTTCCTTTGTGGTATTCTTTGTAGCCTCAGTTGAGGCGTATTGTGTGGGCAGGAGGTCATTGTCTTCAACCCACATTGGCGGACTTGATCAAGAACAGCTTCTGTTGAGAGCCACGGAAGTTACTTGAACAGGGAAGTCGACCCTGGCTCTCAACAGTACCAAATGTGTCTTCACCAGAGACGGTCAATCTGCGAATGTCAAAGTGTAATATATGATGGCAGGACACACCTGCGTATTACAACGAGCCAGAATGAACATCCAATAGTACCCTGAAATACAGGCGCCACTTGCCCACAAGAAGACGTATGGGCCTGGTACCTGAGGATTCCAAAAGACTTCTCGTTTCCAGACACGTACAGCCTGCCAGTATTATTACTTGTGTTCCCAGCATCTACATACCCTGCTGTTCAACGACTGTTGTCAATACCTCATCTTAGCCATGCCCCTTCTGCAGCCTTCATCATCTCGTCACGAAGTCGAGGTACCCAAGCCATTGCGTGTCAACAAGCCATCAATCTCTGTTTCCTCTTCTTCCTCTTCGCTATCGCCACAGCAGCCTCGACCGGTATTGAAACCAGAACCAGACCTACAGAATATTGAGCATCCTGAGCCGTTTCGTATCAAAAGGTCAACAAGCACTACCGCTCCCGTATTTTCACCATCACCATGTCCTCGTACTAAAAAGTTCATTCGGCCGCTCGCTACGAATGAGCCATCAATCTCTACTCTGCTACCACTGAAATCAGCTCCATACCAACATCGCCGTCTAGAGATTTCCCCCTCACCACTACGACCTCGTCTCACTCCACCACCAAAAGAGAAGCCATTCGACACTGTTCATCGAAAGTTGGACGCGAAGACTTCTCAGTAAGTTCTCCTCTCTATACTTCCTTCCTCGAAGCGCTTAACTTGCTATAATCTATATCTAACTTGAGTCTGCTAGCATTCCAAACTTACTCATCAGACGGACAAGGACGTATCACATAACCAACGGACCAGCAACAGCCGCCCTCCCTTCAGGAACCCATGTCTTGATAACGACCGGAAACACAACTCCCTCAACGTCAAAATCATCTACCTTCCTCTCTGTTCCTACCTCTCCCTTCCGAGACAAAGAGAGCCCGCTTCTTCAAAGCAATTTCAACACTGGTGTCGACGCCGTCCTCCCGGCACCGCTAGCGCAGACCCTCCCCAAACACAAGGACATTCTTCACATCCCTCAGTCCATATCCCCATCACCCACAAAACGACGCACAGAAGTCAAGAGGAGATGGACAGGAACGCGGAAAGCCATTTCCTCTTTACTTCCCCGGAATCTCGATCCAAGATTGCACAAGGATATCGAGGTAATAAACGAGAAGCTCAAAATGACTGCACAGGCGGTGACCAAGTCAGGGGATGAGTGGAGAAACTATGCTACTTTCGTGCCGACTAGAAGTAATTGTGGCGTATCTCAAGGAACCAGGAAGGAAGCGTTGAATGGTGCGTTGGAAGTCCACAGGTATACTGATAGGAGAAGTGGGGAGAGTGAGTCGGTACAAGTGAGAGACACTACTGTTCAACGGATAGTTGAAATCAGAGGGTTGACGCTGGAACACATCAGGTCGCGTGGGCGGCTTCACAGAACGCCGTAGTCTTTATTAATGGGTTCAAGGCTACCTACAGGAAGCCAGTTGTTAGTCATGATTACATATGCCAATCTGTGATGATCATCTACCTAGGTATACTCAATGCCATGCATGCCCAGTGTCATCTTTTCCGAACGCCATTGCACCCTCTATCCCATTTTTTCCCTCTAGTCAAAAGGCACTCTCCGCAACCCCCTAGCACCACCTTTCCGCGCTTCACTCTCGGCACCAACAGCAGACGGCACGGGAATGCCGCAGCAATCTCCCCAGCCGACACTTGCGTGTACATGTCTCTTTCCCATCTCATCATCAAACACTTTGACCTCTCCACCCTCTTCCTCCTCTTCCTCCTTCTCCACACCCGCTTCCTCCTCGGTACTCATTCCATCAACAGGCGGCACCAGGCTGCCAAACAGGAAGTGCTGCATGACAGGCAACTTCTCCAAGATTTCCTTGCGGAACATTTTGCGCATTCCGGATTCAATCTTGGACCAGTTCTTCGCCGAGGATATGTCGTCAAGCATGGGTGAATGCCAGCGCAGACCTTCAACGTTCTTGACCGAGTTGACAAAGGAGATTTGGTCTAGGTAGAGATAGTTGTTGCTCTCTTCTTCTAGTACCAAAGCGTTGTGTATGCTTTTCGGCGTGATGTAGGGATGATGAAGGAGTTGGGCTGCGCCGAATAGGAAGGGGAGGAACTGGTAGTCGTCTAGTCCCCAAACGCCATGAGAGCCCGCAGGCTCGAGGTAGTATTCTTCTTGCACGCGACGCATGAGGCGCAGATATGCAGGCAGGACGATGAGGGCGAGCGCGGGGAAGGTTGTGTCAGGGAGTATGCCGATGCGATTTAAACAGAGCAGCCAGAGGAAGAAGTTCAGCTCGTGGCCAGATCCGTAGTCTATGCGTCGCTTGTTTCCGAAGGAGTTGTGGAGGTACGTTGCCATCTCGTCGACCTGTGCCTTGTCTTTCAACCCTAGTTTCTCGTGCCAAAGTGGCAATGACATGTCAACCTCGTCCAGAAATGTGCGGAAGACTGGATTGCCGAACCGTGACCCTGTGTCTTCTCGCGGACATGTTTCCAGGACCTTGTCCGCTTCTGCTAGTATCTGGACGACTGTCTTGACTGTGTCTGTCACCTCGTCATCCCTGACGCTCGAAATGCTGCGGTCGCGCACCGAATCTGCGATGCCGAAGATAAAAGCTTCGACTAATGTACATGTTTTACTCTGGAGGAAGAGTTGATGATCTTCTGGGCTCAATATACGCCTCGAAGGTCGTGTATAAGCATGTCTCTCTAGGCTCGGTGGCTCAGGTAACGAAGGCGTCGGTGGGGGAGGGGCAGAAGGCGGTTCTCGCAATGTGGGGGCACGTTTGCGGGGGATGAGCTTGGGGAGTCTGGCGCTGAGGTCTGGCGGAGGCGACGAAATGGGCGGGGATTTTGTTTGTGTCATCATGCTGTGCACTTTATGTGGTGGTCGTATAGGTGTAGGAAGCTAAGGTGCTCAGGGTCGAGATGCATGGAAAGTGGAGGAGGAGCGGGCCGCAGCTCCGAACGTCATTCACTACTTCACTCATCTTCGGTGAACACTGATTGACAGATGCATCGTCGGGTGCGAGGGAACGCCTCCGTCGTACTAGCACTCTAGGCAGAGTACAACTGTGATGTCAGCGCGTTGCAACTTACTACGTCCTACAACTATGTCATGCATGTCTCGGCTTGATGAGTGTTACCCAGGTTGCAGCATGCACAGTTTCGTCACTCTTGGGGGCATTTCCAAGGACTCTACGGAAATAACTATTCCATGCGGGACTTGGGTACCAGCGTGTTTAAATGAGCTTGTATTCCACTCAGGTATTCTCCAGTGCGTAAAATTGCGCTACTCATCTCTCTTCTCCAAGTGGGTCATCCACTTCACGTCACCGTCTTACAGCGTCATCCGTTCCTGATGATGCTATTAAATCTGTATCCTTTCGGAACTTTTGCATGGATTTTGAGTTTGCGTGGCGGATCTCTTTCCAGGACGAAAGAGGCCCAACACGCGTAGCTCTCCAGGTAATAAGCACTCTACTGCGACAGCTGTGAAGCAAAGACAGCTCCATTCTCAGTCATATAAAGAATATCTAAATACACACCAGATCCTACATACAATGTAACAGCGCTCCTTATCCAACACATTCCATTCATCCAACCCAGGGGTATCAACATCTTCCCAACGTGACGTGTGCCTTGGAAATCTTTCCGGCCCTCCAAGTCATCCTCTCTCAATCTGCACAAGAATGGACCAACTGAGCCCTCACATGACTGTGCAGCACTTGAGCATCTTGAGCAACTTAGGCAAGCCCTTCTTGACCATCTGCTCAATCTCATCGTTGTTATCCTGCTGTTGACCATGGTGTTGCTGGCCACCATGCTGTTGACCACCATGCTGCGGCTGACCTCCATGGTGCTGACCGCCATGTTGACCGCCGTGCTGCCCTGGGTAACCACCATAGCTCGGTGCCTGGGGAGGCGGTGGCATCTCGTGGACATCTCCACCTTGGAGGTTTACAAAGATCCTGCCCTCGTTCTCCTCGGTGCGGTACTGCAATCCCAATTCACGGCACACTTGTTCAACTCTCGGCTTGATCTTCTGGACATGGTTCCTGCTATGGTTGCCTTTGCCCACAATGACATGCAGATGGCTTTCTCCCCTCTGTCTGGCAACCCTAATCCTCTCTTCCAGAACATCCTCGGCCTCTTCTACGAACAAGCCGTGGAGGTCAATGGTATCGCCAGCCACGCGGCCCTCGGCGTTGTTTTCCCTGAAGATGTAGTCGCGCGCCTGGTTGTTGTACTGGTTCATTTTCGCTGCATGGGCTTTGCCCTCTTCAGAGAGCTCGTGAGCACGCGCTCCATCGCCGGATTCGTATGCTTGATGCGCGCGGTCGAAACATGAGGACCGCTTCGCAGCCTCCTGGCGCGCAAGGTCTCGGAGACGGTCGTACTCGGCTTCTGTATCGGCGGACGCGTGGTTCAGGGCTGTAATAGTACGTCAGCCAATGCGCATTGTAGGTTGCGAGCGACAAAGCGTTGGTTCGTAAAGTCATGTCCGGCATCGAATACGTACAGCGCGAGCCCAATGAGTGCATTTCCATGGTTGCCATGTTGTCGCGACACTAAATATATCAACCCAATGTGTGTGTGTGGGTGTGTAAAGCGTCAATGATACAGTGTGTTGTTGTGGTCGAGGCAAGGCACATATTAAGATGGAGCTCGGAGCCGCTAAGCGGCTGCATGCAGCTTGCGAGATGGCGCAGGGTCCAGATTCGTCGTGGCTCAGCGGTGAGGATCGGGCGACCCGATCATGGCTGGAGCGTCCAAGATTGAGCGATCGAAGTGGAGAACAGTGAGCTGTACTGCATGTGAAGCAGTATGAATATTGCGTGTATTGGTTGTGTCTTAGCTAAGCGTGTGATGCTGTTCCTGACGCTGTGTAAGGTACCCGCAAAGCTTTGCGTGTGACTTCACGATGCGTGCCACGTAAAACATGGTTCGACAGGTTTGCGACATCCAGTGATGCCCTAGAACCGAATCTTCGGCCCAACGAAGACAATCAGGAAGGCGGTTAGCCATAACCCAGCGATCATGCAATAGAGCTTGATCCTGTCCCACCAACCCTTGCCCTCAGTCATCCTCCGCAGTGCCCCCATTCTTCTGCTGGCAGCATCCATGTTCAATGTGTTCTTGTCCAGCCCAGCAAGCGCTCGATCCACTACGCTCTTGTCACCCTCGAGCGTGTTGCCAAAGTGTATCGACTGTTCCTTCAACTGCCGCGCCATATCGAGCAAGTCTGTCGTGAGCTCCTCTTGTTCGTTGCGTTCGCGAGAGAGGAGCGCCTCGGTTTTTGCGAGCGATGGGTCGCCTGTCGTGGGCTTGGAAGGAAACAACGAGTTGCCGGATGCTGATTGCGCCCCCGCTGTATTCGCGTCCGCCTTTCCCCTTCGGCGGAGTTCTGATGCGATGCCTTGTGCTGCATTTTGGAATGCTTCGTTGCCTTCTGTCGCTGTCGACACATCCCGTCCGGCTTCCGTCTTTACTCTTGGTGCGTACGACGGGAACTGGTCTGCGTCTTCATCGTCGGAATCTACAGACCCCTCCGAATCCGTGTCGTCCAGCTGGTTAAGCTCGTATATCCGCTGATTAAGCTGTTTGATGAGTTCGCGCTTCTGTTGCAGATCGTTTTGTAATTCGGCTTTCTTCGACTTGGAGGGTATCGTGGAGGCTGAGTGTTCGAGACTCAGGAGTAAGGTGCGTGCATGTTCGATGTTCTGCAGTGATATCAGTACATGCAGACGGAGATAGAGAAAGGCGCGTGAAGCTTACCGCACTCACGCGTGCGCGCTCATAGTTTGACTTTCGCAATTGTGGTGATGGGTCGACCAGTACTAGGCGGTCTAATCTGGACAACAAGCGGTTGAGATTGATGCTCGTTGTATCGCCGAAGCCTGGTGAACGAGATCTGGCAGCCATTATTCGACTGGGCGTGCTATATTGGGACGTTGGTGCAAAAAGGCGGCAGGAGTGATGAAAATGTGCGTGTTGGTGCGGTATCGTGTCGGCTGTCAAGTCGAGTTTTGTTAAGGTCTTCGTGAAGTCGCTATAGTGGTACTTGGTGCTGTGCTTGTGTTGGTGCACGAAACCGTCATGTGAATTAACGTGTTCTGGCCACGACGTCACTTTGGCAAACACCAATCGGTGTTTGGTGGATCATCCCCGCATAGCCTAAGCTTTCGCTAAGACAAGAACCCGCATACATCACGATGTCTTCACAATGGTGAACGAGACAATTGTTGGCAATATAATACATCTTCTTACTATGGTACATATCCTCTCATGGTTTGAAAACTGACCAAAATCATCGCTATGCTGTTTCTGCGCGAATGCGGTAGCTGCAAGCTTGAACTCCAGGCATAAACATGCTAAATATTCCTAACCACCATGGTGTGTTGAGGTGGCTTTGAGGACCCAAACAAATACCAAAATCGCTGAACAGTCTACTTCTGGCCAGGGGGGCTAACGGGACCACGAGTGAAGCTATGCAACATTAGCCAAGTATCGAAGCAAGTAGGTTGGGTAATACGTACTTGTTCCACAGGGTTCCAAGGAAGCCAGGCTTTCCATATGCGTCGTGGAAAGATTGCCTTCGGGCCATGCTCTCCTCGTCTTGACGACGCTTAAGGGCTTCTAGGTTTCCAAATCGCTGGGCGGCAGAAGACTGAAAAGTGTTAGAACATTTCCAGTGAAATTTGTAGCCATGGGCTACGAAGTTGCTACGCATACCCTGCGGCGTCCGTCGTAAGATGAGGAGCCGACTGACGACTCTGAGGAGCGACGGTCGGCCTCCTGCTTGGGTGCCTCTGGCATGGCTGGAGTGGTGTTGTCTCCAAAGACCTTGTGGCTCTGGGTGGAGTACTTTTGCTGGAATGGAGAAGGCATTGTGGTACGAGGGAAATCGACTGAAGTGTAAAGTTGTGTATGGATGGAACTTGGTTACTTGTTGTTGAAAGATGAACTGATGAGGTGATGAAGTTTAGACACCAGAGGAAATCACAGCTTCATATAACCGTTCTCCAGCTGAGTGTCTTCAAAGGTACGATCGCTCGTGGCCTGACCATTACGCAGACGATATGTGATCGTGCCAATCACAAGGGCGCTGAGAATTCCCCGCATTCCAAACGTGCAGCTTGGACCCTGAAATCTGTAACGATGACATGAGAGGGTAACGGATGAACACCAACCTGCTTTCGACATCGCTGTTCGAAGCTAAGAGTTGCTATCCAGCGAATGAGCTCTTGATGATTCATACACCTCATGTACGGCTCGGGATTCCCTAGCATGAACCGCCGATAACATACACCCCAGAACAGGACGTCGATCGATGCTAGCAGTCGTGGTCTCGAAGACAGCCTACAAGAGTCCAAACGCGGATAGCTTGTCTAGAACGGTAGCTCATGAGGCACGTGTTTGTGCCTTTTCATAGTATATCGATCGCGCTAGCTTTTCGAGGTAGATCGGGACAAGACCGACTACTGCAGGATCCTGGGGTAGACTGGGCCCATGACGGCGTGGTCGACGGTGTGTTTGAAGATGGAACCGTCAAGAAGCCACGCGCGTTGCCTTATCTCGCAGATCGTTTTGACATGATGAACACGACCAAATCCTTCATGTGCAAAGCTTCGGAGCTGACAGTGCCTTTATCGCCATGGTTACATTCGACGTCATGCCTACCTGATGGGCCACAGGGACACTAACTGAACTCCCGAAGAATACAGATTTGCTTTTTTTGAACGTTGCTGATGTCATTCCCAACGGCATGTCAAACTGCTGCTCATGGTGCATTGTCTTGCGTCGTACCAGACCCTTTATCAAATTTACGGTCGGCGAGCCGACAGGGCGCTAAGCCTGAGTGGTCACGTCACGCGTATGACGTAGACGGCTGACTAAGATGTACGCCATACTCTTTTCGATAAGCGAGAAATGGAAGAAATGTCTTTCGCGTTTGCACCGCAGTACTCTTCCTCACCATCAAGGCCACTTGAATTCTCGATTGCAGGCTCTCGCCAATCTTTCCGCCATCGGCGCAACCTGAGTCAACCTCGCCATCCAGAAGGACACGCGTCTTGTCCCGTGTCTTTAGAGTTTGAGGCTCCCCGCTTTTGGGTAGCAAGCTGTTTCTTCAAGGTGAAGATTGGCAGGTACTCATGCCGATCCTTCGGGCATAGAAAAGCCGGGCCGATGAGAGAAAATCTCGTCCGCTGCGTCTCCTTGCTCATGTTGCGGCTCACCCTCCCTTCCCTTCAATGCAGCCTCAGACAGATTTGGCGCAAACACAGTGCGTATCATCGATTGCACTGCCTCAACGTCCGCTTGAAATTAGCGACTACGAGATGACATTTACTCGGACTCGCAAACACCCAGCAAAGGTACGTGAAGCAATGATTCTGATCGCCAACCCCTTTCCTCTTTCCTGATGATACCACAAATTTCAAAGCATAGTTCATCTTAGTCTTCGGACAGTGAGGAACGAATTCAGCAATGTCTTTCGCTCCTATCTGACATCAAATCTCTCTCTTGCATATTTTCATTCGTTGTGCGAACGCATTCTAACAATGAACAGACTTCCCGAACATTCCATGTCGCATGAGTCTTGTACCACAAAGTAGGTCATAGTTACTATGCAGCGCCTGCAGAAGCTCTTTGCGTGGTAAGCGACGCATCGGTTTGAGACACCTAGAGGCTAAATGCTGTGTGTGGTTTCCTACACAAAGCCGCCGACGATGTGTGTGCTACAGAATACGCTTAATGAGGCAACCGCAGTGGGGTTGTGTCACTGTGATGTATGCAGGTGCCGCCATAATCTGTCGTGAAGCCATGTCAGATGTAGCCCTATCGGTAGCTACATGCACGCTTTTACGCGCGCACACTGTCACTTTCCTTTACGAGGAAATTAAATTCGAGGAGACAGTCAGTGCGGAGCGTTGCGGGTGAGCCGGCTGAAGGGAGGGAGGGACACCGTTGTTCCATAGCCCAAATTGTATCAATCACAGGTACCGGGCTATTGCGCGTTCGCTGGGAGCCGTGCAACGCCCAGCCTCTCCCTGCTTCGCTGCAAATCGCCGCAATGATTTGTGAGCATTATTGCCGCGGCAGAATTTAATTCTGTTGATCGCGGGACTACACGAGAACCAAATCGATCTTGTGCACCACCGGCTGCCAGAGTCCCTGATTTTGCAGGTTTGACGGCGCTGTCGAGCCGCCCTCCGGCGTCGCGGTTGGTGGTTGGCAGCAGCGATCGTTTCCCACTTTGCAAACCCGGCATTCCCCTGACTGCAATTCAGTTTAGATTCCCACATTTCAACCCATGAGCGACAAGAATATTTCGCCGACTCGGAACGCTGTCCTCCCATTGTGAGTCGCGAAAGGCGCAGGGTAACTGGAGAACCGAGCTCCATGTCTGTGACGTTAGCGTTTGACACAAATTGATAAGAAGTGCACCCGTCCCTACCCAGCCGCAAAAGAATTTTGGCCCATTGGTTTTGGAACCGCCGAAGCACCGCAACAGGATTTTACTCGTGGGATATGCTTGTGGGGCTCGCTCCTATGCGTTGGCACTCGTACTAAGCCACCAACCGGTCAGCACTCTTGCCCGCCCACACACATTCTTGTCCCGCTCGTTTCCTCCCTTCCTCTTCAACACCACACCACCAACACACGAAATCGACAATCGCCTCTGCCAACAAGCAACCCCCAGCGATTTTTCTTGCACAATTTGCTAGAATCGAACATCACAGTCGACGACCACAAAAAAAAGAGCCCTTGCTCAGGATGACAATTCGGAGCCCAGACGGAGCCCTATCCAGGTACTTACTGCCCAACGGTTTTCCCCCAACTCATGTTCTGCTTTGCGCGTTTCCTTACGTTTGACTACTACGACATCCTGTGTTGCTAGATTAATGTGTTTCTTTCCTACTGTTGTTTGCTTTTTGCTCTGCCGCCATTACAGCCCACAAAAGGATGCCCAGAGGATGCCACAGGACAACCTTCCAGAGGATCTACCGCCCCGGTAATGGAGTTCCACATGGCCACTTTTCTTCAGTTACCAAAACCGGATGCTTTCCTGGATCAGCCTCCTAGGATTCGAGAGACGTAGCACACTGCCCTTGCGGTGTTTGTAGAAACGACAACCACGAGGCCTCGCTGCCCCGACTTCAGAGCAATGATGTAATGCTCTCGAAACGGCGGTGAACGGACACGAGTGGATCCTCGCGCTAGTCATATGCGCTACGACGCACTATTACGAAAATGATATACGACAAAGGCATGCAACCCTGCATCGCCTCAGGACAACGTAGGCAACTCTCAGCAATGTCGTTCAATTTATGTTGTTGTTCGACTGCGCTAAGCGACAAACGACGGGTAATATCAATGTACGCAATCCATTCCAAAGGAAGCCACTATCCTGATGAACCCGTTATGGACCAGACCGAGGAACTTCTCTGCCCAGAGGAACAATGACATGAACACCTTGACCTGGACTTGCTACTGGACGCTAATGAGACCCTTCCATGGTCTTGGAGTTGATTTGGAGACAGTTGGACTTACGAAGTACGTATTGGAGGCTATAGCTCTAGCCTATCCACATCGACCTATTGATCCGAAACTAACTTGAGTGGTGTTAAAGGAGCACAAGATGTTCTGGATGATCAGTCCCCTTCATTGTCTCTGGCCTTTGGATAATATTGGATCGAATACTGGATTACTATTCTGTCACCTTGGGACTTCCGGATTCATCGCAACTCACCATGCAAGTGGTGTTTACTCTATAGGAACCTCGCCGCCACTTCGCCAGCCATGGACAGTACCGGTATCCTCCAGGTGCGTGCTAACCATACTTACCCTTCTGCATTAGCTGACTCGTTGCTTATAGGTCTCGCTCGGACATACTAACATGGCGTTTTCCTTTTCTGTCTTCACGAACATGTCAGGTTTGCAGTGCGAATGCATGGAGACTAACTTTTGGCGTCTAGCGACTCTTTCTTCGACTCACCACCGGAGACTGCATTCTTCATCTCAAACATCACTGAGTGGCGAAAGGAGATTCCAGCACCTGTTGTTTCCGCGCCGGACTTTCCTTTCTCTTCAGACTTCCAGGACATGCACACTTCAGACTTGTTCGAATTGAAAGATACTGCGTCTGAGTGCAGCATGGACAGCGCATACCAGAGCCAGAGTGGCGCCAGCCGGCGCGGAGCCCAGAAGCCAGAGTTACACCGCCAGGGAAGCCGGATGAGCAACCAGTTCGTTGGCAGCGATATCTACTCGCCGACCATGAGCTCCGACAACTACAGCGCATTCCCAGAGAACCTGGACATGAGCCATATGCATCAGCCAGCCACATCCGGAACATGGAATGCCACAGAGGGACCCCTCTCGTATGCTAACTATTCTACTGCTCAGGACTACACACATTACTCGACAGCGAACATGCCCCGCTTCGGGCCCGCTACCCTCAGCGACTCACCACAATGGGCTACACCCGAGACCAACTTCCAGAACAACCCATTCACATTCACATCGTGGCCTACGAACGACAACATGTTCAACGCCACCCCTCAACGAAACTGGCACAGCGCCTCTTTTGATACTCCAGAACGTCCCGCTACCCTGCGCAACTCATCATCATACTCTCTTCAAGAAGAGTCACGGCGAGCGTCAGCCCAAGATGTCGGCTTCGGCGCATTTGTTGGTACTCCTACCAGCACTACTAGCGTTCATTTCCCCCAGCCAATGAACAACACTATCGAAGACGCCAAGCCTGCGTCTGTGGCGCAGTCAGTTGATGATAACGAAGACACCCTTTCCCAGTCTGAGGCGGCCGAGACCAAGCTTGAAGAAGAGCGTACCAAGGTCGCACGCAGCCACCCACTCTACCAACAAACACCAGACAAGGATGGAAAGTATCACTGCCCCGAAGAGGGCAAGGCAGGATGTACACACAAGCCCACAGCCTTGAAATGCAACTACGAGTAAGTCATTCAACCATCACGCAAATCATATCGCAACAGAATCTGACCTCTCCAATAGCAAGTACGTGGACTCTCACCTGAAGCCATTCCGCTGCAACAAGAAGACGTGCGTTGGCGTGCAGTTCTCTTCTACTGCATGCCTCCTCCGTCACGAGCGTGAGGCACATGGCATGCACGGTCACGGAGCCAGGCCACACCTGTGCCACTTCCGCGATTGCGAGCGTGCCGTGCCAGGTCACGGGTTCCCTCGTCGCTACAACCTCTTTGACCACATGAAGCGTGTCCACCAATATGACGGGCCCACTACAGAGCCTTCGCCGCCAGTCCAAGGACAAGCTCCTCGCAAGTCGGCGTCTCGCAAGCGCAAGGCGTCAGCCGAGGAGACTGGTGAGAAGCGCGTCAAGGTCGTCAAGCTTACTGCTGAGCAACAACGCCAGCAGCGCCGTGAGGCCCTCACCAAGGAGTTCTTAAGCAAGAAGCAACACATCATTGATGTCTTGACCAATCTCAGCGCTCCCAGTGATCTTGGGGACGACATCCAGCTCACAAAGGAGGTTGTTGGTCTTCACGACATCTGCACTCAGTACCGGGATGTCTTCGGCGGCTGAATGAAGCACACGTATCTGGTAGACTTCGTCTGCTGATACAGCCGCAAGCAGGTTTGTCATCACACAGCCGGACCCCTACCCTTGTTTTTGCAATACATATATACACATCGCGTTTGATTTTCTGCGTTCTCTGAACCCGGATGGATTCCCGCGTGCCAGCGGATGAAGGACCATGACTTGCCACAAGTCTCGGATGGATGCCTCTTGCCCTGGTTGGCCACAACTCCGGAAACAGACCCAGGATACAGAGCCAAGGACATGTCCCAGCCGTGGACTGGATGCCGCAGGATCGCTAGTCGACTCTTAGAGCGACAGCAACCCCGTTGAGGGGAGATGGACTAAGGTCATACTCATTGCAATATGGTTGGCATGAGTTGGTTGATGTATCAGATTGATCTATTGTTAACGGAGGAGTGTAATTAGTGAAGCTGTATTTCTTTGGATATGGAATTCTATTTGGATACGAAGAAGGATGACCATGGAGAGAGGTCGGTCTTGTATCGCTACCATTACCCGCTGAGCGGACGTTGGTTGCTGGAGGGGGATGTTGTTTTTGTACATAGTATTGTTACTCATGCTATTCTTGTTTTACGCTCATATCTCAAAATCAATGTGCATAATTGCTTGCCAATGTGGTGATTGTGAAGGAGTCCGCATGCGCGTTGTCACTGAGGGCTTCGAGGATGTTCGGCATACTTCGGCAACCCCTCTACGCTTCCAAATACCTTCTTCTAAGATAGGACCGATCGCGTCAACTCCCAAAAGTAGGAAGCAATCACCGACGTTTTGAACGGCGCCCCACCGCAGTTGGGTTTTCGTCCGTAAGACGCAGTGGGCGGGACAAGCCGAGGTTCTGTGGCAGGTGGCAGCCCCCCAACCACCTAAGCCCAGAGCCAACGATCGGGTCTCCATCAGGGTCTTATTTCGTAAGCCGCAAACTGTCAGCCAAAATCGTGCAAGGCCAGACCAGTGCCTCTCGAGTAAGCAGAAAAAAACGATCAACGGAGCTCCGTGTTTTGTCAGTGCAGGTCTAAGATCACATGTCATGATTCGATTGGGAGGGGCGACAAGCACAGCCCCGCGTATCGCGACGAACTTCAGGCCTGTTTTGCGACACAACTTAAAGCACCGAAGCTTGACCACCACTTTTGCACCTCTCTGTTACTCGATTTCTACACGTTCCTACACACCTAGTACCGGAAAGAAGTTTGACCACGTAACAAAAGGAAGAACAGGAAGAAAGGCGCTTTACACAACCATGGCTTCCGCTACCAGCTTCTTCGACTTCAAGCCCAAGGACAGTACGTTTACTAATCACATCACCTCTTCTGATGCGCTCCAGCTGCTAACAACTCACAGAGAAGGGTTCTCCATACGACCTCAACAAGCTCAACGGCAAAGTCGTCCTCGTCGTGAACACCGCCTCGAAATGCGGCTTCACACCCCAGTTCGAGGGTCTGGAGAAGCTATACAAGGAGGTCAAGGGCAAATATCCCAACGACTTTGAGATTATCGGCTTTCCATGCAACCAGTTTGGTGGCCAGGACCCAGGCTCCAACGATGAGATCCAGGAGTTCTGCCAGATTAACTACGGCGTTAGCTTCCCAGTCCTTGGAAAGATTGATGTAAGTACGAGTAGATCCCTCTCACACCACATTGTCTTGATATTTATACGAACCATTCCCCATACGATGACTGAACACTGGCTAATCCTTCCCTCTTCCAACAGGTCAATGGCGCACAGGCAGACCCCGCATTCGAATGGCTTAAGAACGAGAAGCCCGGCCTCATGGGCCTCAAGCGCGTAAAGTGGAACTTTGAGAAGTTCCTCGTCGGCCGTGACGGAAAGGTCAAGGGCAGGTGGGCAAGCACCAAGAAGCCTGAGGACCTCAAGGCGGAGATCGAGAAGGAGCTGGGCGGCAAATGAATGTTGAGCGTGAGTTTGGAATGATTGCGCATCCACGTAGGTCCGGTGAGCGCCGGGATACATGATGGAGTATTGATACCACTTGCATTGAATGGAATTAATGGCATTACCCATGAAGTGGCTGTGCATGGTTATGGCCTGGTGAAAACCATGAGACAGAAGGAGGTGACATGCTAATGACAACGAGGGTTATATATACTCCTTGACTATGTATCCCGCGTCGTAACAGCCTCAGCAATACAGATGTACCGAGCTTTAATCTCACGCGAAATACATGCATAAGTGGTTCTAATGTCTGGCCACACTTCGTTCAGACCTTGAGGATCTACAAAAAGTACAGGATTCTGCTTGCCTGTCACTTCCATGCGCTCCTTGACCTTGTCATCCAAAGAGCTGGCGAGTATCGACATGTGCCCTGGAGCTGGCATCGATCTTACTTCAGATAAAGAGAACGAGAGCAAAAACATGTCACAATTTCATGGACAATACCGAGCAAAAGATGTTTGGACAGGACAATGGTATAGAGAAAACTCGTAATGGAGAGTGGTGGTGATAATTGTCATCATCGTCAGTATACGCATGACAACAAAGGTCGATAGATGAAATGCAGGACGGAACAAGATGTAAAGCAAATGTTTTATGATTCTCTAACAACAACTGTAATATGATTTTCTCGCCTTTTTCTACGTACAAAAGCTGTGATAAGCCCAAGAGGGCAACAAGGAATGTGAGAAATTGAATGCCACTTCTTCAGGACAGCCGACGAAGCCCTCCGCACTGCAGCCAGGGCAACCCGTCTTACGTCATGTCCTCCATATGACTTTTCACTGCCCATGTCGAAGTGTGAAGTCTCGGATTCATACGCATGGCGGCATACGGCCGCGTGTTGGCACGAGTGCATGAGCGATGGCGCCTGGAGGATAAGTGCCGTGTTGGGCTGCAGTACGGACTGGATCCAATATTGATATCGGTGCTAACGCACTGGCAGTTGCCTTGTTGGGTTCTACCAGCGGAGCGCACTGTAGATTGTACGGCTCCCGGCGAAGCATCTTGCCCCAGTGGGTGGAAGAGAGGCTCGTAGCCAAAACGTGGAAAGAAACCAGTAGGAATAGTTCCCATGGTATCAGGAGACAAGAGATCAGTCGTATCCGTTATTGCCAGTGCCTATCTGGCTGGCAAAAGCCGTAGAAACGCTACGAGCATCGTCATCCTCGAAGCCACCTAGCCCACGTGGCAGACCACGACCAGCGCCGAAGCCAGTTCCAACATTCGGGCCCTGGCGAGTATTCTCTACGTAGCGGTTGAGGCGGTCAGACTGGCTGAGTGAAGTAGGCTTGTTGTAGTCGTTCAAGCTCAAACCAGATAGACTGATACCGCCCGGTGCATCGCTGCGAGTATCGGTAAGCTCACTGGCGGCGATTGACTCACCAGCAACGCTTTGAGGTGCGCCGTTCTTGCCCTTGCCATTTGGACGACCAGGAAGAGGCCAAGACTCCTGGAAATTGGAAAACATCGGAGGATAGTTGGACGGGACACCAACACCACCGAGGGCAGAAGAGTGAACTGAAGAGACGTCGTCTGGGATGTAGCCGACAATGGATCCGTTGTCGTTGTACTCCTGGCGAGGCTTGTTGCCGTTGAAGCCAGCCTGACGACCAGATGTCATAGCGTTGGCATGCTGGTAGGCCATCTGGTAACGCTGAGGTCCACGGTAGGTCTGCTTTGGGCGGCTGAACTGCAGAAGCGAGACCTGCAGGTTGGTCAAAGGACCCTCAACAAGGCAGTTGCGCTCCTTGAAATGGAGAAGAAGGTAATGCCACAAGGGGTGTTTCGAGAGAACCTTGGGGTTACCGAGAATGACAAGACCATACTTGGCACGGGTCAAGGCAACGTTGAGACGGCGAGGATCGCTCAAGAAACCAATACCCTGGTGGTCGTTGGAACGAACGCAAGACAAGATGATAAAGTCCTTTTCACGGCCCTGGAAAGCATCGACGGAGGCAACCTCAACTTCCTTGTAGTTCTCTTTCTTGAAGCTACCCGTTGCCTGCATAGAACTGACAACGTAACTGCGCTGACCTTCATATGGGGTAATGATACCGATATCGCCAGGCTGTACACCAGCCTTGAAGAAGCGAGTGACGATCTTCTCGACGTTCTGGGCCTCGGTACGGTTGAGGTAGGATGTACCGGACGCTGAGATCTCCTCTGCGCCGAGGTTGGACCAGAACATCATTGGGCTGTCAACGACAGGCCAGGGGAAGTCGACGTCGCGACGGATGCGTTCCTGCATTGTGACGCCGTTCTGGAGAGAACCTTCGTAGAACATGTTTGAAGGAAATTCCGACAGACAGGGGTGCATACGGTACTGAACCTGAAGGCGGATGGGTGAGCATCCCAAAATGACCAGACGCTCAAATAGGGACTGGTTGAGACCAGCTGTTGCGGCCTTCTTGTTCATGATGACGGGTCCAAGTTGCTGGTGATCACCAACAAGTACGACCTGCTTGCATCCAAGAACTAAGGGGATCATACACTCTGGCTCAGCTGACTGAGTCGATTCGTCAATGAGGACAGTGCGGAACTTCATCTTGGAAAGGCGAGGATCTCCGGCACCAACACAAGTACAGCAGATGACATCGGCTGCGTTTAGAATCTCACGCTCGGCTGCACGAGTGAGCTGCTTGAACTTCTTCTCGTCCTGACTTGACAATTCGCCAACATCGCTCTTGAGCTGGTTCAACTTGTTGAGCTCAACGTTGGTGTCGTTCATGCGGACTTGCTCGTGAAGGGAGAGGAAGCCAACTGGAGATTCGACATCCTCCCTAGATTTAGCGGTGACACGAACGGTCTTCAACCCAGTAAGATGAATACGTTCACACAGCTGGTCAACAGCAACGTTGGAGGGCGCGCAAACTAAGACTTGACTGCCGCTGATCTTGCAGAGATGGTAAATAATGGTGGCTGAAGTGACAGTCTTTCCGGTACCTGGAGGACCCTGAATCAAGCTAAGTGGCTTTTGGAGGACGCTCTTCACGGCGTTGATCTGACTAGCATTCAATTCAGGGAGGCCCGGTACGCTGAACTTGCGGGGAATCTGAATCTTCATGGGTGCAGCAGCAACCTCATGGCCGAGAAGACGGTGGAAGATGTAACCTGACACGCTCATCTCGTCGATGGCAAAAGTCTTCATGGCGTGTTGCATGCGGTCGAATGAGGTAGCCTTCCAGACGTAATCGGCGCTGAAGTTGTGTGTGCATTCGGTAGGAACAGACTTGTGATCGCCCTTGGTGCGCAGCTCAATTGTCACCTCATCGGACTGGTTGTTGGGAATCTTGATGACATAACCAACACCCTCCCAGTGTGGACGGAGTTCTCCAGTGTAGCGTAATCGCATTTCGTCGCCGACTGCGAGTTTGACGTCGCCCAACTCAAGCTTGGGGAGGATGAAGCTAGCGGTATGCTTGTTGTTCAATGCCATATCCCAGCGGACCACCAGATTATCCTGCGATTGTGACTCCTTCAGCTTGCGGTCGTAGTCGGCCTCGATCTTAACCAGGGGACCAAAGACGTTCTGGTACTGGAAAGCGTCATCGTATCGGAGCAAGACCTTGGCAATAACCTCCTCTTGACCAGCGCCCTTTTCAAGATCGGCAATGGTGGCATTTGCGTTGTCCTTCCACAACTCTTCAAGTTTGGCAATGGTCTGGGGGCTAAGGTGGCGGGCGCGGAGTTGCTCCTGGTCAGTTGGGGCAGGTACGAGCCAGGGAAGGAAGGATCGGTCTTCGATCAGCGGCTGCCAACGCGAGGTATCCCAGTTCATGTCTTTTTGGGAAGGCATAGCAGCGCATGGCTGACGGCACAGCAGAACAACGACGGTGTCTGATTTGGCGGGGATGAAACCGAGGAGAAACACGTTCTTTGTGCCGCAGTTATAGCATTCGAGCGTCGTGTCGCCGAGCGAGGAGGCGGGGTGGAGCTGGACTTCCTTGTGACGGGCGCGAACGAGATGGTTGATGATGTGCGACGACGAAGAGTTGCCACGAGCGCTGCAGAACCACTTGCTGCATGCGAGACACTTGACGACGCTGCCGGCATTGTGGATACCACAGTATGCGCCTACCCAGGAAATTAGCATGTCTCCCATATCCACCCAGACCGTGTTTACGTACAAGCATGTGCTGGTAGTTCGACCTCAGCATCTTCCGCCCGCATAGCAGACTGGCCATTGCGCCCGCCCACCGGCATACTGGCCATGCTCTCCAGATCGTCTTCATCGTACTCCTCTTCGTCATCCGCGCGTCGTCTGCGAGAAAGACCGCCGCGGGAAAGGTCGCCGTCTAGGATGCCCTCGTCTACGTCGCCGGCATTGATGGTGGCGGCCGAGTCGGACACCAGGTGGTTGCCCATGTGCGTAAAGGCGCCCTCCATGGTGAAGGCTCGCGCCAGAGGCTCTCTGGTTGATTCGAAATTCGTGGGGTTGAGATTGGAGTTTCGAGGGCAGTTGCTGCCGGAGGTGTTGAGATCGGGGTGTAAACAAGTCTCGTGCTCACACCATTTCCAGCCGGGATCTTTGGTGGTTGCGCTTGGCGTGTTTGCGCGCGGAAGTGGTTGGTGTGGCGGAGAAGATTGTGTCTCAAGGTTACAGCAATTCAGCGGGGGTCGGAATATCGGAGCACACGGCTTAGCGCACTTTCACCTGACGCAGTCGCGACTTCCTCCACAAAACACTCACTCCACGTCAAACAAGCGAATCTCATTCGAATCCCGCTTTGCCCTCCTGTCCTTTGCGGTTCCAGAACACCACTATGCCCAAACTCTGTGGCAATGGCAGCCTCTCTATCCAACCTCATAACAAATCTCGAAACTCAGTTGTCGTACCGCCTGCAGCAGTCGCAGCTTCTGAATCTTACACACTACCAAACCCCTAAAACGCTTTCCTCACACCAACAACATGCACTCGCATGTGCGGCAATCAAGCACAACCGTCATTCGGAAATCTGCCAACTTTGCCAAACTACGTATTTACCCTGGTCGAGCAGAGAAGGATGGATTGTGCCATCGAGGATATTCACAGCATCTGAAGAATATGCTGAGCTTGTAAACTGCTGGATAGTCTATCAAGAGCACTCGATTCGATGATATCATTCGCCAAGTCAGCCCGCACGTTAGCGATAAGTCATTGGCGAAGATTGTCGATATCTAACCCCCACGTCTGTGGATCCAGCTACAGCAATCAATGTACCGGCATATGTTGATATATCCAATTCTCCATGTATCAAGGTTGAGTTTTTGCCCACGCGATACTATAACAAAACGCCGAGCACTATCGCCGGAGAGCATCCGAATGCCCCACAGTACCCGCTGACATTGTTGCTGCAGCCGCTGCAGCCACACGGGCAGCTCGTCGGTCCCAGGAAACAACGAGGCAACGTGCCGCACGGGACTGGCCATGATCGATCAACGCCTGTGTATTTTGTGCGGGGCGCGCTTGCGACAAGACGTCCATGCATTGTCCACCACTGCAATCGCCTTCAAAATAGTCCGCGCATACTGTACCAGCCAGCCTATGACATAGTTCTGGGAGCGGTCGCGTTTTGATCAAACTGAAAGCCACGAATTAAAAACCTCGATAACATGGCACGCCTTCTGGTAGGCAGGGAGACGAGATCTCGAGATCTTACGGTCTGCACCTCCTTCAAGGTCGGAAGTCCCAGAAGTAAGGGATTGTGGTATCTATGCCCAAAAGGCATCAAGTGGGGTGTACCTCCACAGGTTTTGGGCATGAGAACATCGCGGTATAACGTCGTATGGCTACGTGTACATCTCTTGGTCCACTGGAGCTTGCCTCGTAACTTTGATGGAGAAAAGATTCTCGACTACACAACTTACGATGCCAAAGAAGTGAAGCAAGATGATCGGCTGAAATGTTCCTATAGCACTTAGACCCATCAAAGGCCAAGCTATGCAACTGGCTCCGAACAGTCGCTCTAGACAAAGTCTGTTACTGTAGTCCAACGAGCTCATTCTTGAGGGTGTCGATCGCTACTTAAGCCGCGGGAATAAAGCATTGTAGGTTGGTTTGTACTCTTTTCGCGGCACTTGCGGCTATAGTGGTAACGCGATATGCCGACTATATCGACGCATCTTAGTAAGCTTTCCCGAGATTCTAGCTCACTGACTTGATAGACATTGAATCATGAAGAGTATCAGTTCATGCTGCGCATCAACTCGGTTCAAGTCATCCGATCACCATTACATTGAATGTATCGCATGTATGCAAGCCTACTACTAGTCAGCAGCTCATGTGGTCCGCTCGTCTCGCATTCTACACATGGTCGAAAACTCGAAGCGACGAATAACACTATCAAAATTGAGGCTTGCATACGCTTGCACGTGCATATACGGTCTGACTCCGACTCTATCAGACGACAGTTTCCTGCACTTGGTCATGCAGGACGCCGCATTTGCAAGATGAGCATCTCACCGGAAGACCCCAAAGCTGACATACAGTCGGCTATCCGTTCATGCGCAACCCCACAAGAAGTACCACGTTGCTCAGCATCCGATCCACAGCAAGTTCGCATGGTCACTGCATGCCAACTGCCTGGCCGTGGGACCCTGTTTCGTGACGACTTTAATAATGGAGTCTTTATCAGCCGCCATTTGCGCCTGCGGAGAATCATCGGCAAACCCGTTGTACAAGGGAAGAAGTATGCAGCCTCATCACACCGCGACCTGATATTCAGTCGGAGAACGGCGCCACGTGCGGAAGAAACTATATGCACGTTTGCAGCCTCACATTCCGTAACGTAGTGGGTACCTTGTCCCTAATACCGAGTCGAGCGCGCTTATCCTACAAATGACAGAGTGTTACCAAATTCATGAAATCCTTACATAGGAGTTTTCACGCCCCACAGAAGCGAGGCGCCCCCATACCAGCGCCCTGACGCTTTTGTGGCCGAGGAGCTCAGCTTACAATCATCTTCACCGATAAACGACAGTGATACAATCCGATACGAATCAGTTTGCCGAACTTTCTCTTATGCAACGAACCTCTGCTTTCAGCCTTGTGCATGCTGCAACCTCCGCTCCGTACGTGTGACATGACATGCAAATAGCCATAGATAGTGCAATCGGCCCTACTCCATGGCGTACAGCATCGTAAACGCAAGGCACACCACCACGTTCCGCTGCTAAGTCACTTCTGCCATCACATGCATACTCCTTCACTAAAGAAGAGCCTCGGATAAGCATCCGAGCAAATAGACTTTCGTTGATCGCGCATTTCATCTTTCTCAGCTCCGCACCTGTCTGTCCTCACAGGGCAGTCGTACATGAACACGTACGTACAAGGAGGTCGGCCCCGCAATCCTTTCCAGGATTTTCTCAGGCGATCAGATTCGTAGCTGATGAACAGATGAGCCATTCATGTGGTCAGGAAGAGACATCACTCGCGATGTCTCGCATATGTTCTGCATACCTCGCATCCCACAACATCTCCGATGCCCAATGTTGTCCTCATGCCCAAAGTTTTATGCCCGAAACGTTGTGAGCGCAACCTTCTTCTTACCCACTACATGCATGTCTTGCGTGCAGCTACGCGCGGGCGCGAAAGAAAGCCAAGTTACCAGCAAAGACACATACATTTGGCAAAGGCGCGAAAGCAAACGCTCGGACACTACGTATTGCGTGCATGCTGTGTAACATACATACATGGATAGAACGGAGGTAGCTGCGTGGCATGACTCGGTACATATACAAGACAAAGCTGCACTGCTCCGTAGCAATTCCACACCGATAGTGATAGGTCAAGAAACGGGAACGTGAGATGGAAGGAGTGGAAGGATTAGGCAGAGAGCACAGCCGCAAAAGACCAGAGTTCGCGTCACACAGCACAGCCGCAGAATTATTGGCTGTGATTGATGCATTGATACGTATATATACGGCTGTGTAACGTTACTACGGTGATCGGATCGTGCCGTGAGGTTCCGTCTTGGATTTGCTTTTTGGCTTACCAGCCTTAACCGTCATTCCATGACGAAATTGCCCATTTTCCAGATGCGCATCTATAACATGTCAGTGAAGTCCTATCTATGAGTAATCCCAGTCTATCGGCACATCTCCGTCTCCAATCTCCCCTGTTGCCTCACTTCTCTGAGCAATGACCAAAAGCCCAGTCCAGCCCATCCGCATCTCCCGCAAGACCGGATAGTGGCTTCTGCTCTGCGGGGAACGACCAGCCTACGCTTCCGCTGCCCGTCAGAACCTCGCATCGGGCGCGCGCCTTGTTTCCCAACCAAATTGCCCTACCCGTCCGTTCGCTGCAAATAGAACCAGCGAGCGCCCGTTCCGTTGACGCCACAGCGGTCCAGATCGACACAGGCTTTGCTCATTCACTTTTTTTTTTTTGCAGACTAGACAATTTCTCCGCACGTTAGTATCGTTAACCCTACGTAGATGAAGTCACGACATCATGATTGTTTGAAACACACAAGGTGCGGAGTAAGTGCATAAGCAATATGTGGAGTGTGGGGTTAGGCGGCCGAGGTAGGAGAGAGCATGTGTTGGCAGAAGTCGAGTGATCATTCTGCGAGCTAAACAATGCAAGTGCGGAGAGTAAGGAGGTTAGAACGGAAGCTAGCCACGTCAACGTGGCAGGCAGGTTTAGCTGAAATGTCATGTCAAATTACCATGTTACTGTGCCATGCGTGCGGCGTTGCGGCTCCGAGGAAATGGTTCGAGGCAGCGTAGCGCGTGCTCTCGAGGCAAAGATCGTGAACGGCAGCGTCGATCGGGCCGCAAGGCAAGCCGCTTCAACCCATCGCCCCTTTCCGTCAATATCCTCTCCTGAGATCAGGAAAAGTTTTCACCACCGTGGCTAAAGCATAGAAGCATCGAGAATGTGTATGTGTGGAAATTTGACTTCCAAATTCGCGCAATCGTAGCGCCGAAGTCGTATGGTATCATTTCTAAATAGTTGTTGAGTGGTATCTTCCTGATAATTAACCTAGGTATCCCACGCTATGCCATGCCCATAACCCACACCAAGCCAAAGAGGTGAGTATTGGCCAATGCACACCCCTCTCTCCTTGCAAGACTAGCATGCAAGCCGGGCCGGCCCACGTATAGAATTGAAGAGAAAAAAGTTGCACCAAACCATGTCCTGCATTGAAGCGAAATTGATCGTCCTCCCAACCGCTCACAGGCCACCGCCGGAAGGAGGAGACGAAAGAAAGAAAATAAACGAACCGAAAACCAAAAACCGACCTTCCCATGCGAAAACCCCGCACTGCAGGCTCGGCAGATGAAAACAATGCTATGCAAAGCAGTTTTGTGTTGTCGTAGCGTCGTTATGAGGTTGCTAACAAAGGAAACAAGAGAATACAGGTAGAAACTTTGTACAGGGTAATGACCGAGCAATGAAGCTCAAGAAGCAAGTCTATGGGATATCGCCAAGATGCAGTTACTAAGGTCAAGGTTTGCTCGCCGGCAAACCATCCTTGTTGTCCCCATAGTTGAGTATTGCGCCAACGACCAATGAAGAAACAAAGTATTGGTTGAAGAAAGGGTATATGCTAGAAGAGAAGTGTAATGAAACGATCGACGTCCAACGGGACAGGTGATCAGCGATAACTTTTGAGTGCCGAGGCCATGTTGCGGTTCGATGAGGGTTTGATAGCCGTCGGAAGCGAGCTTGCCAACGAGGCGGTTGAGCAAGGACGCGATGTTCTGTTTGAGGATAGGGTGCGGGATTATATGCCGAATGCATCAAGTCGAACCGGAACGCCTTAGGATACCAGAGTAGAGGTCGGTAGAGGATAGAAATGTATAGTACAACTGCAGCCGAGTCGACGCGTGGCGGCGTCGTCAGCTGCAAAGAGTGGCGTCATGTTGCAAGCTCACACTATCGCTCAAATGTGCTGGAGCGACTGATAGAGTCTAGGTCAGACTCCCGCGACTCGCTTCCCGCCCGTTGTAGGTCTTCCTTGCGCTTCCTACGCTCGCTAGGTGCTCGGCTGATCAAGCGTCTAACAAAGCTGCGGCTCGCTTTGTTGCTTGTGGGTTCTTGAAGTGGGCTGGTAGGCTCAATGGATGACCCGCAAGAAGCGCTTGCGGAAGGTTCGGGCGCATCGACAATGTCCTGCTTCTTGATCTTGCAGAAGAGGGTGGAGAATAAATATTGCTCGCCGTTACTGTCGTAAAGTGGAAGATGGCGGTAGCCTTGCTGGATGCTGTTGAGCTTGGCTGTGAACGTAGCAAGAGGGGCGTGGTTGGTGGTTCGTGCATCGAGCGAGTTCCAAACAGTCCAGCGCACGAAGACAAGGCTTGGGTATCTAGTGGTGACCGTCATATCGATCTCGTTGCCGAACTCAGGGTTGTAGCCATTGCCCTCTACGATGCGTGTTCGTTTGCGCAGAGGGTTGCCGATACCAGAATGGCCATTGCGAGCTGATGCGTCTTGTCCACCAATTCCTGTGGCATTCGCACCCATATCCTCTGCGCAGTACATCTCAAACTCGACGTACGGGTTGATGTTGGCTTCTTGTCCAAGGCCGCGGGGGCGGGGTAGCTGTTGAGCGGAGATGATCTGCACAGTGAATTTGACTTCTTTCTTGGGTGCCTTCCTGTAGCTAGTGGCTGGGGCCTCTGGGTCGAGACGAAGCGCAACCGGCTTCAGCACGTAGCCTGTGCGGTCTTCACCACCAGCGAACATGGCTTCATTCAACTGTTGACCAAGATCGTAAGTTTGCCAGTTCAGTGCAGCCATTTGGACGCCGCGACGCCAGAACTTGAGGGGATCGAAGTTGGATGAGTTGATACGGAAGGCGTGAGGGTAGACGCGCATCAGGCAACGCATGTTGTGTGCCTCGAGCAAGTGCTTCTCACGAGCTCCAGGCTTGGTGAGCTTTTCGAAAGCTCGCTCATTGATAGAGAAGACATGGTTGAACGTGTTCGCATCGATGCTGCCAAAGTCTGTGAACTTGACTCCGCGTGTGTAGACACCGAGGTTGCCGAGCTCTTTTGTGATGTTGCTGGTCTTAGTCTTCTTCGGCTTACGGCGATCGTCCACTATCTCTGCTGTCTCAGCAGTGGTTGCGTTAGGGCTATCGCTGTCTTCAGCTGAGCTGACCGCTGCCGATGTGGGCAGCGTATTGTTCGAAGTTCGTGGTGTTGCCCAAAACGACTGGGATCGCTCTGGCGGGCTCATTGAAGGGGGGCTAGAAAGAAGAGGCGAGTCTGGGACGAGCTTGTCGTTCAGCATCACAGGACGTGACCAAGGAGAGCTGAAACTGCGCTGTCTTCTTGAGGTGATCTCGCCCATGAGGGCCCTGGTATCGATCTCATCACCAGCAGCTCGCTTGACCTTGATAAGAATTCGGTACTTCAGTTCCTCGGGTGTAGGCAGCGATTGCGAGTCAAAGTCTAGCGGCTGGAGCACCAGCTTGTCGCCGAACTCCTGCATCATGATCTTGACCATGGCAGATTGTTGAATCGGTGAGCAGTGCACCTCAAGCGAGAGGATGACTGGGTAAGGTGACTCTGTGAAGGCATACTTGTTAATGACCTTGATGGTGTCTTGAAAAAGGATGCTCTTGGTCAAGGTTCGGCCGTGCATAACAACAGGGATATTATCGGCGCCATCCCAACAGTCGATCTCAAGGCATCGGCAGCCCTTCTGGAGCGCTGTAATGTAGGCCTCTGTGCTTGACTCGCCTGCGACCTGGCGGCCGAGCAGGTAGGTGTTGTGGGAACTGGAGATGAAGTACTCGTTCAATGGTCGGTTGAGTTCTTTTGGCTGACCGACTGGCTTGAGGATGGAGTTGGCGGCAGATGTCAGATATGTTTGGAAAGCCGGGAAGTTCATTGCCAAGGGCAACGGGATATCCCCACCCTCAGTGGGAGTAGCAGCCATCCTGGGTCTTGTCGCGCGCGCAAACTTCTCGAAAGTGTTTGTCCAGTACTCAAGGTCTTCGTTCACGTCTACGCCCTGGTCCTGACGAAGAAAGGTAAAGAAGGTGAACTTGTCCATTTCAATTTTCGAGCCAGATGTGTAGGTCTTGTAGATGGCCTTGATGTCTTTGCGCTCCTTAAGGCGTCGGACGAAATACAGAAATTGCTGTTGGTTGAGTTTTCCAGCGTCCAGGGTATCGGCTTTTGAGAAGTAGGCGCGAAGCGTGGCTTCTGTGCAGTTGATGTGCAAGCTTCGGCAGAGCTCGACAGTGCTTGGGAAGTCGAGAGACTCGTCGCCTCCGCCGCGCTTTTTCATTGCGCGTTGCCAGACAAGCTTTGCGCTCTTGTCGGCGAAGCCAAGTAGGCCGGCCATGAGGTCAATGCGGTTGCGCGACACAGACTCAAGTGTTTGAGTCCACATGTTGAAGACGCCGACGTCGGGCGCAATCAAGTGCATCGTTCGTATCCGGCCTTTGGAGCGAGTTGTGTCGGTGTACACAATGGTAAACCAGTAGGGTGCCCAGTTCTCGGATAGGCCGCACTCTTCGCGGTAGTGCTTTGCTTCCGGTCCTGAGCGGATCTCTTTCACATCATCGATGTAGAAAGCTTTGGAGGGTCGCGATGGATCCCAGAATACCTTGGCCGATTCCAGATCGAGCCGCAGGTTGATCTCCTTCTTCTCCTTCTTGGTAATCTTCCTCAAAACGGTGCCTTGCTCAAGGCGGGAGTTGCGCACTGGGGCGACAACTGCGGCATCTGGTATCGAGCTGAAGCTGGGGGTCGGGTTCGAGATGCCAAGGCCGTGGATGGGCTCAAAGGGGTCTTCTACTGCTTCTTCCTCTTCAAAGGCGTCAAAATCGGAGATGCCAGTGTCGGCGTCGGCGGCAGTCCTGCTGTCGCTGCGGCGGCGCATGATGACGGGGCCAGAGCTCTTGTCGCGTAGTGCTGAGGTGTTGCCTCGGCGGAAGCGGCCTGGAATGTTTTGGGCGCCCCGGCTAACTCTGCGAATCAAGCCCGGTCCCTTTCCCAGGGCCTCGGCCATGGCCGAAGGTGAGGATGTGGGCGGCGACTGAACTGGTGGTAGTGGAGGGGGAAGGAGCGACTCCGGCAGGGTGTAGGAGGGAATGGCGGGTAGCGACGACGAGACGGGCACCATGCCCTCGGGAGTAGATTGCAGGGAGCCATTGAGGTACGAGGCCGTCAGGGCGGGACTGGCACGGGCGGGAATGTTGATGGCGCGGGCGTAGCTGGGCTGGGGTGAGGGCATGCGCGGTCGCGAGTAGGCGTCGTGTAGCAGCGACATGGTCGTGGTAGTGTCACTTGAATCAGATGGAATCCGGGCGGGCTAGTAAATCTTCATGGCGCGGGCAATGCTGAGTGAGAAGGAGCGTAACGGCGTGCGGGCGCCACTTGGGTAATAAAAGCAGACAGGATCAACAGCCTGCTGGGTCCTGGTGGAAAGGCTCAGGCTAGGAGCTGCTTTGCATCGTGAGACTGACGGAATGCGTTTGGGCTATGACGAGTTGGGACTGGGAAGCGCGCGCTGCGCGAAGATGCAGACGCAGGTCAGCTGGGATTACTGGAGAATTGACTTGCATGCACTCTGCATGGATAATTTGGGATTCTCAAGTACTCCGGAGCAGTCGTGGGGGTTGCAAGCGATTCGGCAGACCAGGGCGGGCGAAAATCGATCAGCGCGTGGGTTCGGTGCTGCAGGAAATGCGGAGAAGGGTGTGGTGAGGCAGCGTATCGTCGGCCGTTGTCTATATGGTCGTCGGTGGTGTGAGTGTGGGAGGGCTTGACGTGGACGAAAGTGTTTCTTTGTAATTGGTGGTTGTGCTGGATAGTGCGAGGAAGGAGTGGGCTGTAGGGCAGACAAAGTAGTATATGGGCAACGGCTGCGCTTGGCGGCCTTCTTTAATCCAGGAACAGACAAGGCGCACACCGAATTTTCAGCTAAATCTTACAAGCACACGATTATCCCTTGACTCCTAGTCATTCGGGCTTCCATCCGCCTCCGCTCAATTCGGGCTCCGAGGGCACTTCCCTGTTTGTCTCCTGTGCTAGCGCTGGACAACGAGAGCCGCGACGCTGGTTAAGGCCCCACTGAGCAACGGTGTCCTGTATGACGCAGCCCATGGATATACTACGGGGTCCGCCAATCATAGTCCAGGCACACTGAGCCGTCGCTGTCCTGGCCTGATGATTCTCAGGCATCCAGGAAGGCTGTGGAAGCACTGAGGAAGCATATGCTGGGACAGTGAACAAGAACAGGACATGCACTGCCCTGCCCTGCCGTTTGTCAATCGCCGGTTGCACTACATCAGGCCTATCATGGCCATGCCGTGCCTTCCGGCGAGGGGATGCAAGGCTGGCTCGCAAGCAGAAGCAACCTCAAAGGCCCTGATGTTGTTCGGTTCGTTGTCGTCGATCAATTCGTTGACTCACCGGTCCTATCGCGCTGGTCGTGCGATGGCCCTGTTGCGAAACCTTGACGAGTACAGGCCGGCTTGTTAGCATTGGCTATACCACAGGTCGTCATGTTTGCTACATGGTATCCGCATTGCCGACTGCGCGCGGTGCTGCTAGTTTCTGACTGGTCTCGCGCGACAATACGGTGTGTCCGAGTAACACGAAGCAGCAAGCGTATACTGCATCTTGCTCGCTCACTCACTTCACTCGCTGAGTCGCAGTCGTGGCAGACGGACATCAAACGTGCCCATCCAGCGAGTCGCATCCATCGAGCAGGCGCCCCATGTGTGGCGGTGACAGCCCCCATCGCATCGCATCGTCTCACACGTGGCGCGCGGGCAAGTGAAACCCAAGTGCGAAGCCGGCACAACGGTACCACCATCATAGGCGGCTTCTCACGGTCGTGACGGCGCAAAGTCAGGGATCCACCCTCGACTCGCTCTAAGTTTCCGCTGGCCCCTCAATTTGCTGCAGCCGACTCGGCTGCTTCACAATTACAGCACGTACCGCTTTTTCACACAGAATGGCGCGACAATGCTCTACGCCCAATGCTCGTATCCGCATCGCCCTGCCCACTGCGAGTCGCGTGATTGTTCCATGGCTGTGCTCCAAAGTTTCCATGCCTTCGAGAAGGAAGGATTCCTGCCCCTGACAGCCACTTGCCAATCATACCACCGCGCCCCCGCACATCAACCGTAGTGCCAACGTGCCGGGCTTTTCCAGCTCATCCCAATGTCCATGTGACTTGCTGGCGGTGTGATGCATCTTTGTTCATCGTCGCGCTTTGTCCAATCGTTTCTTTGTTGCTGCTGTATTCTAAGCGACCTCTCTCATGCCTTGACTGTGTCTCCAGCGCCGCATTCGGCCCTTGGGCATCAGCGTCCTTTCGTAGCTCATCGGGCGCATATCCGGTAGGCTCGCCGTTGTCAGTGATTGCCGTTTGCTAAGTAGGGATGGCCGGCACTGTGTTGTCACAAACTCATAGGGCTCACCAGAAATAGCGCTGCACGTAACCCCGCCTGCTCTGAGCCACGCTCGAAACATTTGCAATCGATGACATGCATGTACCCATCACCCCGTACGAAGGCGTCATGCCTGCACCTATTCTGTCGCTGTCTTTATGTGCGCTTCTGCATTAAGCTTCTGCATTGAGCCTTTCTGGCTGTCTGCGGCTCCTGTCGTGCTGCAATGCCGTTCACAGTCTGATCAACGTGGGCGATCAGAATCTTATTCTGCGTACGAGCTGTGCGACTCGGACTGTAGCTTGAACTGCGCATCTTGTACAATTTGCGCCAATGGGAATCTGCGAGCCCCATAAAAATGTCTGATTCGCTGATGGCAGTAGGTTATACGCCGTTTACTTAGCCTACCACGGTACTGCAATGCCATATCGATAGGCAAGAAAAGGCGAAACTGTGTTACAAGAAGAGCCGAAACCTCGATCAAATTTCAGCCTCAGGTATCCCGCGTTCGCAGTGAGCCGCTCATCTAGCATGTACCCTGTCAACGTTTGTCAGGATCGACGAGGTGGAGTGCCCCCATCACGGCTTGTTGGGATATCGCAGCCAGAAGAAGACCCTTTGAAATTTCGGCTCAATATGCGTCCGCTCGCCCTCGCTGGTTCTTGTGCAAATGCATGTAACTTCAAGATGCGGGACGTTATTATGTTACTAGAACCTTGGATGAGGTGAGACCTGAAGATGCGTTGTTCTGTAGAGATGCATGGGTCACCCACTGCTTGTCGGAAACTTTGCGCTCTAACATCTCGTCGCCCTGTTCACTTTGAGTCAATCTCTCAACAAATCCGCCGAAGAGTAGTGGACTGGCGTTACGGGATCTCAATGGTGGCGCAAAGCTTCTTGGATCTGGGGCGTCGTAGCCCGCGTCAGAAGCAAGTTCTGATCCGGACTCGTACACTATGGGGCTGACAGAGCTGACTGCGCGGGATATTGGCAGATACTCTGAAGATGCATTTCCGGAGTACCTTGAAATCAGTGGAGATGTCTTGCATGCATGGTCCTGCATCCCTAGCAACGAAAGTTTATCATCACTCTGGAACACAAATGCCCGCCAATTCTTCTCGTCCTCGTCCAGACTTCGCAAAGCGGTGGTCACCGGTTCCTCTCGACGAATGGCGGTCACGCCAGAGGGATGCGTCAGTACTGGCTCTCTAATATGCCTCGTCAAGGAAGGCAAAGAGGCGGAAATTGAGGACGAGCTGACGCGGCTCTGACCACCCTGACCGTGAGTGGCCTGTTGTGACCAGTTCGTTGGAGCTTCATTGTCCTGTTTCGTGGTGGGGTGATCATGCAAGAAACTGCTTCTGGCTGTATCGGAGTGACTTGAACCATCGGAAATTGCGAGATACGTCTTCCAGGGTCCTTCATCGACGATTGCGTGGCCTGCCGAAATCTCAACATTGACAGGATGCTCCATATCAATATCGACCTGATGCATATGTTCCGTCTTGGACGGGAGCGCCGAGTCTGGAATGCAAAAAGGCTGTGTCTCACCGATCTGGTAGTCATCTGATGCAGTACGACTACGGCTACCTGCAGCAGAGTTGGAGCCGCTGAAGGCGAGACGGAAAGCGCGCTCACCGCTATGAACATGATGCGTGAGTCGAAATTCATGTGTAAAGCTCCCGGTCTGTCGCGAGGTTATTGTCGTGGGTTGACACTGCAGTCTAAGCTGATCACCGATAACGTCCCCTTGCTCAGAAGCACCTGAAGATAGACTAGCTACGTTGCGCCGAGCAATACTATAGCACTGAGGCTGCTCACCGGTCGACGGCGCACGAGAATTAACACGAGCTTGCTCAGAAGCACTAGTTGCTGCATGAAGCTGAAGATTAACAAGCGGCTTCTCTGAGTGTTGCTGTGCAAGAGGTCCTTCCTGGTCGAAGAGCATTAGCTCAGAGAAAGCATGCGACTGCGCATATTGGTTCAGCTGTGTAGAGCAAATGCTTGTCATTGCATCTGTACCAATCCGGATTCGCATATTGTCGACATTTTGGTGTGGACCATTCTCTCTGAGCATGTGGGAAAAGTTGTCGTTTGCAAAGTCAAGGTCTTTATCCCTGAATTCTTCATTGTCCCTCTGTCTTGGAGCTGCGCTGCGTCCTTTTTTCGTTCTCCTACGCTTGCCGATTCTGCTCTTCTCCCTGCTTGATTGGCACCGTAGGCTGACCGGTTTCGCTGGGTCAAGGCCGACCCAATCTTGCTGTGTCAAAAGCCTCCTCCTGTTGGCTTCAAGCCACTGGAGGTCCATGTCCATCTCTGGGGTCCTGTGTTTCCCGTCATGCAAGTCTGTTGGGTTGTTAGTCCATCTTCACGTGGCCCTAGCAAGTGAGCAGCAAGTCACCACTAATGCCTCTATGGATGCGAACTTTTGCATTCGAGTTCGAAGGAGAACGGCGCAAAAGATTTTTCGAATGCCCTTCGTATGACGTTCTTGTCAATCGTCTCTTGTCTGACGTGGGCTCACGCTGCGTTCTCTTACTTAGACGCTTCGCTGTATGTCCTGTATGCCACCGCACTGAGCCTGAGCCAAATGGAACTAGGTTCCAAATATCGAATTTGTCGTTGTCTATTAAATGGTTCGGTCGGAGAGGAGCGGCATGTGAGTCAGTAGCATTTTGTAGTTGTGTGCGCGCCTTAGCAAAGTACGCTTTCTGCTGTTGGAGCACGCCTGCGTTAGCTTTCTTGGTGCGCTGCAGCAAGCCGCCTGTCCAGTTCATGTGTATAGCATATCAGCACTGTTCTATAATTGCACAGGTTGAAGGAGAATCATGCGAGAAGAGGTAATTGGAAGGCAGTGGATGCTGATCGAAGCTGCGGCATGCGCTTGCCTGCTGAATATGGGTAGCTCCTTCCCCAGCTACGTCTTTTTCCTCTCCGTCCGACCAAGCCCTAAGGTTGCGACACAACTGCAGCACTCCACACCTCGTATTGTGCACTCGACCCTCCACAGCGCTGGCTGACCCATCTTCCTCGGTTACTATTCAACGAGCGTCCTCCACGACTCATGCTCGGATCTGTCTTGCCGGCGGAAAAACAAGAACAGATGAAAGGGTCCAAATCGTTTGGTCGATCAGCGCCTCCATCACTTCCCTCCGCAAGAATAGTGGAGCGCCGGAGAGGTACCGAGACCCTGCGACGGGATCCCCGTGGGTGTAGGAAATCTTTAACAATCATGGCCATAGGGTGCGGGGACGGCCACTTTAAGGATGCATCGCGTTGCTACACCATAATCCACAAATATAGCAGGATATGCGAAGTCCAACAGTTCTGTAGGACCGATTTTAGAGCTATCCACAACTCAGACTTTGCGGTTACACCTGGGGAAATCGTGGAGACGTGGAGAAGGATGGGGTTGACAACCACAACCCCATACCAGATCCACCACCGTTCCCAACCATACTCCATTTATCCGTCTCTTCAATTCCAAGCCTAAACGCCAGTCGCAATAAGTGTGCTCCGTACATGGCGCTGTCTTCTCGGCAGCTGCATCAGATCATTGCTTCTTGCAGCGTGGAATCCGGTCCTGAACGGGTCTTGCGGCATCTGAAGGCGCCCATGTACACAGGGTCCGCGACTTGACTGGTCATTGGGTACATTCTTCCTAAATGACCAGGCATCGGTGTTGCATTTTCGCTCAAATGCCTCAATTTACTTCCACCCGCCATTCGCAGTTGCTGGATCGTCCTTCCCGAAGGTTTTGGAAAATGGATAGTAGGTTTGTTGATGGCGCAACACCTGCCAGCCCATATCCACGCTTGCAGCCTGACCCTATAATGCGAAATGATGGCATACATGCTGCCGCAGCCCTTACTGCAGCTGCGCCGCCAGTTGCGGTGTACCTTCATGTACAGTTACGTCAAGCGCCACGCCCTGAGACTCTTGCTGTGGGTACTGGTTCTACTGGCGACCCACTCCATGTAAGCTGCGTAGATATCGCTCAATGCACGCGCCTACAGTCGGAACGATGGTGCATCGGTTGTTACATTCGACATGTGAAAGGCAGCGATAAGGACCCCACCTATAGTATCGCAGACGTGTTTCGTTTCTGTCGAGGTGAGCATGTTCAGTCGAATGGCCACAATCTGTCTTACATGTGGTAACGGTGGACAAATGCTAAGAGGCTAAGACGGATTGGCATGTCTGCCGAGATAGCCTACGTTTGAGGCTCAAGTTGCCTCATCTAGCTTCCGATACTTGGCGAGAACTGTCGGCCGGCTTGTTCTCGCCGGAAACGAGGAGCTGTCGATCGGAGGTGGTGGTAAGCTTCAACAGGGACTCATCACCAAGGCCTGCCCTGAGTCCCTGAGGCTGTTCATTTGCGGGCGTCTCCAGCCGAATCGAATAGCCATCCTAAGGCGCCGAAGCGATATGCGAGCTAATCATAAATGACATCACTAGCGCAGATGGCCTCAAAACTCTGCAACACCGTTCCACAGCAACACCAGCCGCGGCCGTCTACCACATGGCGCGCATGGGACGGCAATAATCCGAGACCGCCAGAGATGCAGGAGACCCTGTACCGTGACTGTCATACCCACTCTTATTGCAACATTACCGGACTGCGTGTCGAATGGGAATCGAGAAACATGCCACAATCTCTCACTCCATGGCGGAAGCGCACGCCTGGGCACTCTCTACCGCTATCGACTAGTATCGCGTTTGGTGTCGCAAATGTGTCCCTTGTTCTGGAGCTGACCGAGTGACGCCATCGATCTACGCAATGCCATCCAACAGAATCCCGAGCCATACCCTTATCGCTCAAGGTCCGGCACATCGACGTAGAAGTGCATTGTACCTTGCCGCTATACTTGCAGTACGTGTTTGAGTAATGTAGGGGGCGAAGTAAGGACTACTGTATGTCTTCGGTATAAATGTCTCGGTATTCTTCGTACAAACCAACCATCTATCATTATATCCACCTCCACATATCCACATATCCACATACCCACATACCCACAGTTCTCTCCGCTTCTTTTGAGGGGTTACCTGGAGTCTCGACCTATCTACCGGGCTCGTATACTATAAAGGCTACCAGAATTCCAGTGTTTTGAGATTTCATCACACCAGACTCCAACAAACTCCTTCATTCGCAGCAAACAACACAAGTTGCAAGACTCTCCGTTGGAAGATCAGTTTTCATATTATCCTTAACAATGTCGGCGCCTTCTCTTGCAGTCCCTGCCTCGACAGGAAACCCTCGACGCCTATCTTCCAGTGAAGCCACCCGCGAGAACATCACAATGGGCCCAACAGTCGTCGTACCTCCACAACATCTCATGGCCCCGTCAAAAGCATCGGAGATTGCCAGCGCTTTCGAGACTGCCAGACATCACCTTGACTCTGCCGCGACTCCTGGGTCGCCTGGTTATACTCCTCCCGAAACTTCAGTCACGGACAAGTATGCTTTCGCTTTTGGTAAGTTGAACTCCATTAGTTCAAAGTGAATTTATTCTAACATAGCTCAGATATTGACGGTGTCCTCATCCGAGGTGGTCGACCTATTCCAGAAGCTGTTGAAGCCATGAAAATGCTCAATGGTGAGAATGAATACGGTATCGTAGTGCCATACATCTTTGTCACCAACGGTGGTGGAAAGACTGAAGCCGAGCGCTGCGTACAGCTCAGCAAGCAAATGGAAATCGAAGTATCACCTGGTCAATTCATCTGCGGACACACTCCCATGAGGGAGATGGCAGAGAAGTACAACACTGTCCTCGTTGTTGGAGGCGAGGGCGAGAAGTGTCGCATCGTGGCTGAGGGCTACGGCTTCAAGGATGTCGTTACCCCAGGAGATATCATCAAAGACAACCAGGACACTACACCCTTCCGCAAACTCACAGAGGAAGAGTACAAGAACTCACGAGCACGAAACTTCGCTGAAGTCGAGATCGAGGCGATCTTCGTCTTCGCCGATTCTCGGGATTGGGCATCTGATCAACAGATCATCTTGGATCTGTTGATGTCAAAGAAAGGTCGTCTTGGAACCCGATCCGCCAACTTCGACGAGGGTCCACCAGTCTTCTTCTCGCACAACGACGTTGTTTGGAGTGCTTCGCACGACCTTACCCGCATTGGTATGGGTGCCCTCCGTGTTTCACTTGAGGCTATGTTCAAGGCAGTCACTGGCCGAGAGCTTAAGACTACCGCATTCGGCAAACCTCAAATCGGCACTTTCGAGTTTGCCACTCGTCTTCTCCAGGAGTGGCGAAGGGACACTCATGGCATCAACTCCGCTCCTTCAACCGTCTACTTTGTAGGTGACACACCCGAGTCGGACATCAGAGGCACCAACGAGTATAACGCGCACACCGACTCAGCAAACTGGTACTCCATACTGGTAGAGACAGGCGTCTACCAACGCGGTACTACTCCTCGCTTTGAGCCCAAGGCTATTGTGCAAAATGTCCTCGAAGCTGTCAAGCATGGTATGGAGCGCGAGTACAAAAAGGCTCTAAGGGAGAGCATGATGAACACTGGTGTGCTTGAGCAGTAAGAAGGATCTGCTTTCCCTTCTTTCTCTTTTTTTGGTTTTCTGCATAGCATGGCGCATGGGTATTACCTCATTTGATTTCATTACATCGCTGGCAATAATGGCCATAGATCATAGACACTTGGCTAGATCACGAAATGGTAGATACAAACACAACACATGATACCACGCAGGCATAATAGCCTTGTCACATCATTTACAATTTTCCATTGTTCTTTCTCAGATTAATGAAGACCAACACATTGAAACGTGAACTACTACTACTACTACTACTACTACTACTACTACTACTACTACTACTACTACTACTACTACTACTACCACTACTCTGACTAACTACAGACGTCTGCATCATCGACCAAGTCGATCCGGCCATATTCAGGCCGTCTCCTCGCCTCGAAATGCCTCACGTAGACACATCATACCCGTACCAGCGCGTGCGGCAACTTCCGATTCTGGTCATTCACACTTGAGATGACGAAAGTACTTACGCCGCGTTACCCGGCATTTCCCAGGCGACACTACTTTGTACGCGGCACACAACACCGCGAAGCTTGTGTTGCGAACCGCCTCAGTCGGGCCGAGAAGCTCATAAGTCGCCGGTTTAGTGCGGCCAACAGCACTTACAATTGCGGCGGCCAACCACACCATCCATCATATCAGCCCACACCTAAGCTACGAGAATGGCCGAGAATACCATTGCCGATGGGATCGCGATCAACGTTGTGTGAGGTGCAATATGTGGGCTCTGAGATTAAGGATTGTGGCATTCGCGGCTATGGGAGGTTAATTATGGGTGGGTGGATAGGTGGGTTGAGAGGAGTATTGTAAGAGGATCGATCGTGATAGGTGTTTCCATTCTGGCGGAACGGTTTCCGCATCTGCAAGAGGAAGTTACGAAGGTCTTGTCGCACCTTTCATCACGATTCCCTACTCTGGCTCCACTATGGCGTACCTACTGACACGACGTTACGGCACATCGCACTCTTGCACCATCTTTCTCGGCACGGATAACATATCTTCCTGCGGCACCGCATGGTAGCCTGCACATGTTTCGAATCAATCACCAGGCGACGTTGCAATATGGGTCTCTATGTGGACCCTAAGGCACGCGCTTGACCAAACAGCCCACCCGTCCGCGCAATCTTATCGTTTGGACGGAATGGAAGATGTCGGAAACAATCCTGAAACCATCGACACGTCTGTTTCTAAACTCTCAAGATTTTCCCGAAGACACGACACTGACAAGTCTGCACTCGTTGCATGAGTCATGGCACAACACAGGTGGCCCCGGACCCCGCGAGTCGTATTCCAACGGCTGATTATCTGGGGTGGCCTGCGGGCTATGCTAGGTGTTGGTGACGGGGACGGCCTTGCTTGTCCATTGGAGCATGCAAGTTTGGGAATGGCTGGTTTACGTGAGACTAGGACCCTGGTGGACAGCGATGTCTGACACTGAATATCCTGTCTCTTTCGCATTCTCCTTCTAGCAGGTGAGCAGATTTCCGCTTCCCCGCTGGAAGAGGCGTTGTCTCGGCGGAACCGTAATGAAGCCAGGCCGCAGGCTGTTCGACCTGCTGCAATAGGCATACTGATCCCTGCAACTGAGATATGTAGATGAGCGGTCGCTAATGCTTAACGCCGATGCTTCGTTTGGCTTTCGACGTACGTGTGATGGGGTACGAAGTCCGTATGGCGTGGGAGAATTCAGTACGAGATTGACGGTCGTAACGAGATGAACACATTTTGTGTACTCTCTCGGTTGAGACAAAGATCTTTGCGGATGTTCGTATGAACCATGGTAGTTATCTCACGTGGTTGATCGCTTGCTTCGTATTTCGTTGGTGGTATGGCATACACTACCTACCCACCTATGTCTTGACGACATGCATTAGCTTGAAGACTGACCTCCACACTATCGAATCCAGAGTGTATCAGTAAATTATGCAGAGCAAGTAATATTGATATATGATGAAAAATGAATGATAATAAGAGAAGTGACACATGACCGGGTCTAATCATATATGAGAGAACCATCGTATCTTTATTGGGCACGGTCCTCCTCAAATTCTTGCTCAGAGCGCTCGTTGTAGGCATTGAGGCTGTTAAACCAGTCTAGCTTACTACGAATAGCCTTTTCCGTGTAATCCGCAGTGTCAATGTTCTTCGGTCGGAATTCTGGCTCCATAGGATCTATGAAGACCGTAGTATTATCGTAGCCCCATTTTTCGAGGTTCGTGACGTTGAATGCAACCATCATGCTACTTTTTGTTAGTATTCAAAGCAATGAGATGGTGACCGTGAAGAGACTTACTCGTGGTCTTCATGGATAAGGTTGTGACAATGGAACATGTAGACACCCTCCCATGGTGCGTACCTAGCCACAACACGGACGGATTCACCAGGGGCTATCCAAACGATATCCTTTTCACCCGCTGCCTCGTATGGCATCACATCGTTACGGCCGCCAGTGCGAGAAAGCACCTGGAAATCAACGAGGTGGATATGAACAGGATGCGAGGCATTTCCACCTCCGTGTCTCAATTCCCAAATCTCGTCATTGCCTAAAACAGGTCTTGTCAAGATTCGGTTCTCGATATCCTCCCAACCAACTCCATTGATGAGCCACTCGCCATCAATTCGAGAGAAAGTGAAATTCTTAGTGACGTTGGTTTGTGGTAGTGGAGGAATGTAGCGAAGGTCAGATGGCACGGGGTCGTTGTTGGTGCTGTCGGCTGCAGTGTCACTGACTACGAATCGCATGACACGATCGGTTGCAGCATAGTCAAGATTGCCCGCCATCCCACGCTCGTTGAGCATTGTAATGTTCTTGCCCTTGTAGTTGGCGAAGTCGACGACCATCTCGTAACGTTCGCCTTCAGCGATCGCGAAGCTCTTCGTGTTTACTGGATGAGAGAACAGTCCTGACAATATGTTAAAGAAACCCCAAAAGGCTGTCAAACACACATACCACCATCCGAGCCAATCATGTCGAAACTCAGTGACTCTTCAGTTTCATCGTCTTGTAAGTATAGATTATAAGAACGACTGACGGAACCATCAAGGACGCGAAAGCGATATTTACACGGCTCAACGTTTATGTACGGCCAAGGCTGACCGTTCACATGGATCACATCGCCCCAAAGTCCAGTATTATTATGTGTATCGAAAAGCAGGGAGCCATCGGCGGCGTATTGTTTCGCACTCAAGGCCAATGGGATATCGTAATCACCAGTTGGTAAGTCGAGAGCTTGTTCGTCTTCATCCGTTAAGAGATAGAAGCCGTATAGACCCATGTAGACATTCTCGCCAGTTTGACGCTCAGTGTGGTCGTGATACCAGATGGATCGCGCATTCTGTGCATTTGGATAATAATAATCCTTGTACTGGCCAGGATGGGCGTAATCGGCAGCCCAGCCATCGAAAGGGGCGCGGTTATACTGTCCATGGACATGGACAGATGAGTTTGTGGGACTATTGTTGGTGAAGCGAACCACAGCCTCTGAAAAACTTTGTCAGTATCGACCCTATCAAACAAACCAGCTTGAAGCTTACCTCGCCCTTTTCGCATCATGAAAGTTGGTCCTGGTGACAACCCATCATATGTGTACAATGGGGTAGCTGGTAGATTAGGGTATATTTGTTTCGTGGCCGACTTGACTTCAACCTCGTAATAATCGATAATGGCACCGGTAGTCTCATTGGTATATGTACTACCCCGTGTTAATGCTAAGCTATATTCAAGGTACTGCCTTACTTACAATGTCGATTTCTTCACTGGGGGTACAGGTAGAGGATACTCGAAGATCCATGTGTATTCTGGACTATCCCATCTTTCCGATTTGTTGTTCGGTGGTATCGTGTCGTATAGTGGCACGCTCGTCTGGCTAGGGAGTGCAATGAGAGACGACAAAGTCACGCTGGCTAAAGGAGTGGCATGTATGCTGTGTGTCAAACAGCTAACGAAAAGAAATGAACGAGTGACAAAGGGAGAAAACATATTGAGATAAAAACCTACCAACTTGACGACACGTCCTCCGCGGCATCTCGAAAGCTTTAAGGGGAGAACGATAGCACATCTCATGCAACCACACTAGTCGTTTCATTGACGTAGTATATCAGGACCAGTCCGTTCGATGAGACATGGCCAGCTGATAGATCCTGCGTCTCTGGCAGAACGAAGGTCAGACGCAAGGACGTTTGTGGCTTACTCCCAGGTGCGTTTATCCTTATGTAGTGACTCCTAAATAGAAACATGATTCACCATCTCAGGAAAGGAAGTTCAAGGAGAGTTCGCCCCATCGAAGATGCAAGCTTTGGCTGATAAAAGCCAAGAAAAAAGAAGGTAAGGGGGATCTCCAGCCAGTACGCTACAAGAATGTGGTGAGCGCCTGAGTATCCTCGGCATCAACAGATGTAGATCCGAGAAGATCAGCATGTGGCTTTCTCTGTCACTCAATAGATAAGACGGCTGTACAATTAGCGCAGTGGGTAAGTTGATGTTGTGAACGGCAAGGTGATGATCCGTAAACCCTTCTCGCGTGCAGACAGCGTCTAGTCCCAAAGCGACTGCACTAATGCTTTCTTTGGTTCCGCTTCCTCCTTACTTCACATGCTTTCCTTGCGATAACCAGATTACTTCCAGCACGCGAGACGTTGGCACTGCCTGTGCATGTGTGCTCTTATCTTTGGCCAACTCTTACAAGGCTTTTGATCATAATGTCAGTCGCTCTCTCGTGCTATCCCATGCCCTCAACAACCTCGTTTTATGTGCTGTGGCGCAGGCTAAGCAGCGCTATGCTTTCTCCATTGCTCTCGCTTCCACAAAAAGCAGGTTCGCATCTATTCTCGAAAATGGCCTGCGCGCTAACATGATGACGAGGCTGGAGGAGATCTCCTGATTCATTTGCATCTCTTGGTATGTCATGGCTGCCACATTCACGCCGTGCTTGTTGCTACACGGCTTCGGATATTGCGTTCTGTGGAGTCGCACAGTACACTCTCTGTACACAGATCCGGGAGTTGCCACCGCGGACTGATGCAGGTGATCTATGAAACGGCAATCGAGCACGGGAATCAAAAACGCATGATCGTCGGAGATGGACGTTGCCACGGTAGTGAACGCACACCATTATATCTGGAGTTGGTGTATTGGTCGAAGCGATAACACGGCTATCGCCTGTGTTGAGACCTCTAAAAAGCTTATTCAAGAGCGCGGACAAGCTCAACAACACGCACCCTTGTAAAGCCACTGACCAGTACATCGATTCGGACAAATACGTAATAAATGTCAACAATTGGCGATCCGGATGACATTCTGACTCATAGACTGACCACTTCGTCGCTTCATTACTACATTCAGGCCAATCATGAGGGCGATACGTATTATTCTGGAATGGTAAGTACTTGGGCACAATAATTCCCATGCATCAAACGCAACACCAGGCATAGAGAATTCACTGCTGAAGTCTGCTGAATCTCAAGCCGGATGTAAATTATAGTCTAGAGTGTAGGCAAGAAGTTTCCCGCGCAAGTAATCACCATGACTCTCCTCAGCATGCCTATTAATATCATGACCTGCATGATAGTAACCGCCATAGCCTTGGTCGTGTTCTCCATCATAGCCTCTATCATAGTATTCGTTATACTCTCAATCGTGACCATTGAATGCGCCACATCTTCCATAAAAATCAGCGTCGTATCTGTCATACTAATCTCAGTCATCGAAGTGACCTTCATAGCCCCATTTTATCGCTAGACTATTTAGAACAAGATCTCAGTAAAATGCATACCTGTCATATCCACCATAACCCGCATAGCCACCAGAAAGTCCACGATTTTCAAGTTCATCAAACCCCCATCAAAGTCGTCTAATCCACCATACCCATACCAACCGTATTCTCCATGTCTGCCCCAGAATTCAACATTCTCATCATACAAACTCACTACGCCCGGGTAGCCAACATAGTCGTAGTAGCCACAATTACCTCCAATCATGCCGCCATAATCATCATAGTCTCTAGAATCATGAACATCATCATAAGACCCTTTTTGATAACCTCCAGCGTATTCGCAATAATCACCCTTATCACACTCGTTACGGTATTCATTGCAGATCTTCTGTATGAAATCAGCTTGTCTAACTTGGTCGTAGCCGCGGTGGAAGCTGATAACATATGTATGTTAACATAGCAAAAGGTATTGCGGAGCACAGCGCAACGTAAGAAAGAGCAGTCGCTGAAAACTAGAGTAAGGGATGCACACCTGTTGAGATGTCCCGCCATAGGTGCTTCATTCGCCCCATGCTTACAACCCCGTGCTTTAGCTTCCTCTACAGTTAGCTGCTTTCTTTTGTTACGAACCAATTCGAGGGCAACAACATCTCTTGGGAATTAGTAGTAGGTATCATCTGCCCTCTCCCTACCAATCTAGTCGTGTAGATCATTCTTATCGTAGTTTGCGGAAGGGTCACCTAGGTTTTCCTGCTTGCATTTCCGGTTGCGGCGGCTTCTGCGACCCATATTTCGGTTGTGTCTATGAACAACAAAGGATAGCTAAGGTATCTGATTATTGATATGTTGCTATAGAAATTCAACCAGCTAGTGAGAGCTCCCAAGTTTACGTAATTTTTATAAGCAGTATCATGATGAAACTGCGCCCGCTGGCAAAATAGCTGAGATCTTCAACAAGTGATGGACACGGCGACCTTCGAGTACCCATTGATCATTCATCCTCTCTTTTTGACAGCACAGAGGTATATCTGGCGTAAGTATCGAAGAGGTATGTTAGTCATATTTGTAGTTAGGTGAGGCATGTTGCGCACTCACTCAAGGCGTTTCGTAGGGCAGGTGCTTTGTTGCCATCTGTCCGCTGTGCCTGGCGCTCGAATTGACACTTATCTTGTTTTGGGTCGTTACTATCCATGTCAGTCTCATTCAGACGAACGCTGACTGAAGTGCTTTGCCAAAGCCATCTCACACACACGCGACTGCCGCGACTCCTCTCGATGCCTCATAATCCTTCACAGTACGCATATCTGCAGTATACCCTCCATGATCTTCCATGTGGAGACACAACCGACATCGAGCAACCCTGCCTGAGCAACAAGCAAGCTTGCCGCGATTACGACGCGCGTCGCCTTAGGTCTTGGTCTCGAGGCTGTAATGGATCCAACGCAATCATTGAAAAGAGAAAGCAAGCCTTGCCGTCGGCCTGATAACCAAATGGAAACTATCCCCGAGCGGAAAAAAAAGAGAAGCTTGATTTCACGCGTAGTTGCCGCAAATATCCATGTTTCGTTCGTGCAGGGCGGGTCTATACGGTCCGAATATAAAGGCCCGAGGCGGCTGATCAGTCCTGGCGATCTCGATCGTGGAGTCACGATACATGTGACCTCACGTAATACTGCGATCGAAGTTCGTGGGTTCATCATACCGAACAGCGGCTGGGCTTTCTTGTGACGATGGTAAGCATAGTAGTACCTGATATCGGGCAGTCTACCTTGAATCCATCATGGTGAACAAGGTGCCATGTCAGCTCAACCCAACGTCTGGCTTAGCATTTTGCTTGAATTCCTCGATCATGCAGTCTTGCACATCCTTGAGGGACTGGTGATTGGCTTCAATGCCTGCCCTTCATGGGCAGTGTCCGTGGTTGCATGCATGTATTTCCCAAAGCACTTAGACGAAAAAAAGTTGCCGTAAATGTTAATTTGACTACACCAGGAGTGAGCTTTAAGGAGCAGGCTTTGTGTATCTTGTTCTTGACATGTACCATATACCCGGGAGTAGATTGAGACTCCACGGTCACGCTCAGGGAGACTTGAGTTTCGTCGTCGGACTGGACTCACCTTCGTCGTCAGCAATGACAACGCCCAGGCGCTCTACTACCAGCATTGTAGATCGCACATCGCCTGACTTGACTAAGCCACGGAGGACTGAGAGTGGTGAATCGATGGGAGTGTTCAGCGATAAGTCGGTGAGAGGATTGACCACACCCTCCACAAAAGTCCAGTGCGGCGTTGCGGGGTTAAACGTGTGCGGCTCTGATGTGGGGATACGAAGGCACCTCGTCGTCATGTACATTCACTGCCGTCCTGGTATGATGTATGCCTCGGCAAGTATAAGGCAGCTGTGGCTTGACATGCAAAAAGTGTTACAGACGGTACACTAGCGTAGCGTGCTTCTGGACTGTTGCGCCTGAACGAGTCTAGATATTTGCATGGTGTTTTCGTGTTGCTAGATATCCGTCCCCGAAAGAGCGGCGGAAAGCAGAGGATATCTAACCAGAAGGAGTTAGCTTGTGGTACGAATCCCGGCGATGGCTGCCCAGCCGCCACTGACGTAGTTTCTCTTCATCGTCATTTTGGTTTCTCGATCTCCAGCCCTTTTTACATGCGAACCTAATTGGCGTTCCTGAAACACATCTCCACAGTTCCTGAATGTTCCTGGATTACGTTTTGCTTACAAATTGTGCAGAATGTAGAGTGAGGAGGACCTGATCTTTCACCATGATCGAAATTGACTTTTGTGAGACGAGGAATCAACAGCGACCTGATCCCTGGGCCGTGATGAGCCATGACGAAGGGGGTCGTCATGCCGCCGATGCATCTACGCTAGCTGTGGTTTGAGCCAAAGTTCTCAAAGTTATGGCGTGAGAAGTGGCTTGTAAGGTAAGCGGTGAAAGAACGGCAAGCCAACGGCCACGTGCATCGCGGTTTGTATGCTAGCAGCTGACAGCCGTTCAGTGAGTCGAATTGGACAGCTTACGCTAATGGCTTTCGCGGCATGTCGAGCGCTTCATGAAGTGGAGGCGAGTGTTGATACGACATACCGTATACCGTAATGTGCGACTTTACAAAATACCACCGGTTACTCATCGTTACCTTGACTATACATACTAAAACACCAATCGTGCTTAGAGGCTTGAGGTGGGCCGTCTTGCTCATTGCATTGTAACCGAACTTAGAGGATTGGGTAATAGAGCGGCTCGCAACAGACGGAGAACAGTGCTATGCAAGTATTGACTAAAGGTGCACGAAGGACCAAATGGACTCTTCGAACATTCGATTCGATATGATTTTCCTGATCTCCATGAACGGCAGACACGTGATCTACGACGTTATCGAAGGTCCACGAGTGAGAGATCAGGTCTGCACCACCCTCTCAGTCTCCAAATTTCCTTGGTTCTCACGGCAGACACATACTGTACAGCACACCCTGCATCATGTCCGTCAGCATGCGCTATCAGGATGCTACAACCGTCGCACACCACTCATCCATTCTTCACAACATTATCGATGACCGGAATCTCGCAAACAGCCGATGCCGAATCCCTGCATAATTCTTGACCCACACACATGGCATTTGTTCGGCATCTCAGATCCGTGAAGGAAGGGGGCACGGGGCACAAACCTACCACACCACACCAACCAACGGCACTCGCATCAAAAGACGCAGGGAAGCCGAACCAAAAACGAAATAACACGGCGATAAGGAAGACCCTGTTTTTTTGGTGGGAATCCTCTTCTTGAGCGGGCTGTGCAAAAATAGCATGCGCTGTCAAGCTAAACTCGGATCAGTTTTGTTGTTATCAACATTTGCGAATTTGTGATTCAAAGGATACGAGTTGTCGCTGTATTGGTGGAGTTCGGCACAACTACCTAGCGCCCTAGATCACAACAACCCAAAACCATGCACAACGTGTATGCACATTCCCGCGAAACCAGAAACATGCGCAACACTCGACAATCGACGGTTCCCTTCTCTACCCAGCATCTTCCCCCAAACACCACCTTCAGCCAAGATCACCACCCGGTACACTTCACCTCATCTAGCAACATGTTATGAAGATCCTTCAACCGGCTGCGGGGCTATCAAGCACACAGCGAGTAATTAGCTTGGCAAATCTCCGTTCTAACATAGCCGTCAACAATTCAGATATGTCGATCTTTCCATCCTCCAGGGATACCTCTTTGTTCGACAGTTTTACGCGAACGCCAACGCCGAATGATCACCATCAGAAAATCTCAGGTGATGGCAGTGGTGCATTGGCGATGATCAAAACTGCTGCCAACGGCCCGTCTAAACCTGCTTTTTTCTTTCTCCTTTTGATGATTTGATCGCGATCAGCTAGTCTGTTCAGGCATGGTAAGTGCCGCTGTGGGCGAAGCGAGAGTGCAACTGCAGCCATAGCGTAGCGTACACGCCTTACAGTAGTCCATCGAAGTATGCAAAGTGGGTTGAAAAATGAAGGAGATTCAGGGTCCGCTCGCACGGCGCACTATATGCGTTGGTCAACGTTAGTAACGTGGAGTGATGTGGGGAATGATTTGTTTGTGCTGAATGCATTAGGAAAGCACGGAGAGGCAGGAAAGTCACGTTAGCGGTCGTTGCGACTCGTACAACACACATCACACCCGCTCTTTTCGGCTACTAGTACATGGCTGAGTGTTTCAGAAAAGCGAATGCGGCCGCACTGGATACGGGGTGGTTTTCAATGGGGCGAAGAATGGGGAAGGTCCTGTTCGGGTAGGTCGGCATCTCGCGTGGTACCATTTGGATACAGCGGACAAAGGTACGAGGTATGTGGTGGCAGTGTTGAGAGGAGAGAGGGAGTTGTAGATGCTGTGGTATGTTTATGACGACGTAGGCGTAAGCATTCCAAAAGAATTCCAGAGACTTGTTGGGCCAAAAGGCTACTGGCACGATTTGATGTAAGATGATGTGATATGACTAAGTTGAATTGCTAGCTACATGAGAAAAAGACCCGTCATCTGTCCAGCTCAACACCACTGGTGGAGCGCTTACAGTGAAACTATGGACAGGCGAGATGCTATACATATATGCTATCGGGGAAAACGTATTTGGGTATTTGATAAAAGCGACCGGTGCCACGCTCCAGCACTTGGAGGTGATTGAAGAAGAAGAATGTGCGAGTTCGTGTTTGCCAGAGCGACCGTTCCATCCGTCTACGTCTATGTTGTGTTCGATTCGAGTGTTAGTTTTCGTGTTTCTGGTGGTAATGAATAACGCCGTTCATGCTCCATGCCGTGGGGTAATATGACTCCGGGAATGTATAACAAAAGGAAAAAGGAAAAAGTGACTACTTTTCTCGGTGTCGTGTCCGAGCTGCAGTTACTGAGCGGCTGTGTATTTGTTGCTGAC